TTAAAAATCTTACGTTTAAATCCTGTGTTCCCCGCCTCATTTTTAAACTATAGTAACCTCTGACCAAATAGTTGCTGCTTGTGCATAACCATGTTCGGAGTGGAGGCGTATCATATAGATCATGTTTTATATTTTATACATTGTGATGTCTTGTAAGTAACAATGATATTCGGTTGCAAATGTTTCTCTTGTTGATTTACAATTATTTTCTGGGATATATCAATTTCGTATGCTAATCGAATTGAATTAAGATTCTGTAAGATTCAATTTTATATTAAAATTAATATGTATGTTTTCATGACTCCTTTAATTTCCTGTTAAAAATTGATTCTTGTGAAAAAGGCAGATATGCTAATAACTAAATAGAATTTATTTAATGTCTATTTTATACTGACGAAGAAATTACAAATATTTTCTAATAGAACATGGAAGAAAAATTCCTGTTGTTTGTCTTGTCCTCGAAGGTGGTAAAAATACTATTAACGTTGTTTTGGAGAGTGTGAGACAGAGTCCTCCAATCCCAGTAATTGTTGTTGATGGATCTGGAAGAGCAGCTGATCTACTTGCATTTGCACATCAATATGCAGAAGATGATGGGTGAGCCTTTTAAAGTTCTAAGACAATTATTGATTTCTCTAACCATTGACATATTACATTGACTTCATATACTAGAGATCTTGTGCTGAACCTAGTGCTTATCGAAGAGAGCCAGTCGCATTATCCGTAAAATATGTTCTTCAAGGGGAGTCACTTTTTTCAATGTATTTGTTGGCTTTATTTGTCAGGTGGCAGATCGCAATCGTGATGTTAACATGTATTGTGTACAAATATCATTTGGCTGTTTTTGACAAAACTTATTCAGAAAATATGAGTAGAAAAAATTTGATATGAAACACTGTAATTTGTTAATGAATGTTCATCAAATTTTTCAAGAACTCTGATGGAAGATCTTCGGTTACAACTCTTAATCACAATACAGAACACATTCGCTTGTGGTCGAGATCAAGCTCAATTTATATTTCTGTCTATTATGGAATGTGTCAGGAGGAAAGACTTGGTTTGTTGAAATGATTTTTAGAAATTAGGTCACATTATGTAAAGAAGTAATATTACTTTGCCTAGTAGATGGTATCATTGAATTGTTCAGTCCATTTCTCTCCAGCTAGACATTAACTGAATTGTTAATACTACATCACAGTTTTCCAATATACATCTGCACAGAGCATCTAAGCAACTAATCATACACACCTGCTAATGATAATGTAAATTAACTGATGTGGGAATTTTTTTGGTTTTTACTCTCAATTTGTTTACTTTCACCCTGATTAGTTATTGCACATATGTTATATATATCCTTCAAATTTTTCTTTTTCTTCCATATTCTTTGTAGATAACTGTATTTCGATTGGGTCAAGGGCAAAATAAACAAGATGATATTGACAATGCAATTTTGACAGCATCATTGCGGGGTAACTAATTTTTATAGTGTAGAATGTTCTTATTTTATTTTATACGTTGAACCAAAATATTTACAAAACAACATATGCAATTTTACAAAGGAGAGCAAGTGTGATCAACATTTGAAAGTTAGTACATTCATGTAATATGTGCATTTTATATACATTATCGAATCAGATTCCATAAGTCAATGTTTGAAATCAAATGATTTTAGTCTGGAGTAATCTTCTGATATAATCATCCACATCCATCTATGTCAGTAATTCTCAAACTTTTTAGGCCGCACCCCTTAGGAATTGTCAAGTCTCGTGCCCCAAGTAACTAGCTAACAATAAGCTACAAATAACAGATAGTAAGACGAAAGTATGTTTTATACAAAAAAAAAACATGTTACAAAATACCAGGATGGAACTTTTATCAAGATCAAATCTAACAAATATTTTCATTTTTAATTAGCTTCATGCCACCTCAAAAAATTGACTATGCGCCCCAACGTTTGAGAACCACTGATCTATGTGGTATCGATAATATTCTTGTTAATCCATTTTGATTGCAGATAATCATACATCGAAGAGATTTTTTGTGTACAGTAATTCACTCATTTCATTCCTAGGTAAATACAAAAATAATGCCCATTGCTTAACATATCTGATTATAGGTACGGTAATTTATATTCAATTTTGAATGTCCCTTCACAAATTTGACCAACCAAATTTTTTTCTATATATTATACCGATGTTTTATTCATCATCTGCTTCTTTGGGGAATACGCTACTTGGTTGCTTGTAAAATCCTACACAATCTATTAATATCTGATTTATTCATCCCATGTGTTATTGATTTATCCCTTCTGGACATTCTTTATGGTGTATTGTTTGTCCAATATGTGAGATTCACAACGAATCACAAGTATATAAAATTGTATATTTAGCTTGTCATGCTTGATTCCTACCTGTTATTGTTGTCCATTATAGTAGATTAGCAAGTCTTGTTTTGAGTATTCTAAAATTATGTTTTTTGAAAAAATTGTCTCAAGATCTGAATAAGGGTACATTGCGTATATTATGCCAATATGTTTTCCTTCTAACTTTGAATTTTTGATAAAATTTGAATTTTAAAATGGTAATGATTTGTCATATAAAATTGAATTTATATTTTTTATATTTTTATTGCATAGCTAGAAGAACATCTGCCCCTGACATGCTCAGTCTCGCGTTAACATGGAATCGAATTGACATCGCAACAAGTCAGATATTTGTCTATGGACAACATTGGCCGGTTAGTACTTTACTACATTTTATCAATGAGTTAGTTCATTCAAAGCTACATTCTCCCAGCCATAGAATTTGTCATAACATTTTTTTTGGAAACAAGCAATGAGACCATTTTGTTTCAACAATCATTTTGTATTGTAACTTGTTAGTAATGATACTTCATTATGTATGTAATTTCAATTCCAATATATTTTATGTTATATAGGTATTATCTCTGGAACATGCGATGATGGATGCTTTAATACAGGATAGAATGGATTTTGTGAAACTATTGATGGAGAATGGTGTTAGCATGCACAAGTTTTTGACCATTCCAAGATTGGAAGAACTGTATAACATAGTAAGTATCAACTATATCAGGCTGATTGTTTGCACATTTATATGAGCATATGTATCTATCGCCATGCTATAGAATTGCATACTCTTGTACGGCATAAATATGTCTTAGGATACTTCTTCATTCTAAGAGTGTCAGAAAGTTCTTATTATCACACGATATGATCGGTCTAGGATTTTATCTAATTTGATTATTTACAAACTACATATTTCCTGTATTCTGTATTAGGCAAACTATTTTTGTTCACTTCCGACTTAATGAGAATTCTTTATCTAATACAAACCCCATTTCTCCACCATACCCAGGGTGTGATATATTGTGTAGGCCAGCATTTCCCAACCGGGGCCCGAGCCCACTAAGGGGGCCTCAAAGCAGTTAGTGGAGGGCCACCAAGCTAGGCTCAAAACTGATATCATATTTCCGTTCCCAGGAAAACTGCCTGTTCTTTCTAGTTTCATTGCTTGGTAAGGTTATTTCACAGGGTGTTTTCTTTTGTTGAGAATGAATTGTTTAATAAATATAATGGAATTTGAAATCTACCTATTATAATAACACTCTAAATACCATTGGAATGATGAACAGGGGCCATGAGTGCTTATAGGCTTAAGTGGGCCACGAGCCATAAGAGGTTGGGAACCACTGGTATAGGCAATACAAAACTAGAATGATTCCTGTTGCTGTTTTCACAGGGCCTTGCTTGGAGAGAATGTGTGAGAAAAAATGCTACTTTGGTGCTAGTCAATATATAGGGTATGTTTTCTAGAATTTTATTCTTCTATTCTAATTTTTTTTTTAGAAACAAATACCCGTTCATCTGTTATATTTACTGCAAGATGTAAAGAAAAGTATCACATTAGGTTGCAGGTTCAACCTTATTGAAATCGGACAGGTGTGAATCCTTATTTATATTTTCTTCATGCACATAAATAAAGGTTGTCAATTATTGGGTCTACCTCGGTCAAACTAAACATTATGGAAATACATTCGTGTCAGTGTGCAGCAGACTCTTGAATTGAATAACCTTTTGTCCCACTGTTTTTTTATTGATTTATTCCTTTATTTTGTTGCACATGTTGATAATCTTCTTACAACTTTTTTGATTATTTCGCTATTATTTATATATACCGTACCATATTTTTAAATTCAGTCGAATATTTCGTATCACTAAGTTCATTATATTTTTCATATATTTTTAACCTTACTTGAGATTTGGTAATATTTAAATTTTTTTTTCAGGTCATAGAGGGCTTGATGGGTGGAGCGTACCGGTGCAATTACACGAAAAAAAGATTCCGTTTGTATTATGCAACACATGGAAAATTTAATATTAAAAAGCAACCAAGTTTCACGAAAAAAAATATCTTGCCAACGAACTTATCTAAATTGGATGTAGGTTGCGCTTGAAATATTAAACATTGATTGTTCATTTCTTCTTTTCATTTGTCTGGAAAAATCAGTTCTTTTAACAAATGTGTCTTATCTTATATACAGGTTACGTCCTCTTTTCGTGATTTTGCAAGTATAGCAACTAACTCCATCAAACATGAGCAAGATAATAATAAGAACAATGGTGGTCCTGCCGCGCAGATTTGTAGTAATTTTCAATATCCATTTCATGATTTGATGGTTTGGGCTGTTTTAATGAAAAGACAGAAAATGGCAATTTTTATGTGGCAGCATGGAGAGGAAGCTATTGCTAAGGTAGGTACTTGGCTGGTTGGCAAATTCCACTCAAATATGAAAACATCCTAATATACAAAGTCTAATAGTTATTGTGATATCCGATACAAATACAAAACTATTAGTTTTTGTTCAGCCTACCCAGTTTAACAATTTTATGCTCATGGCTTGAATTGCGTTTTTCATGAATGTTAAAAAATTCATGTTTATTATAGTGTTATTTATGTATGGTGCTATGGAAGAAAGTCAGTTTGACTGTATCAGTTTGATTTTATTACGAAATTACTATTTGCAGGCATTGGTTGCTGCTAAACTTTACAAAGCAATGGCAAGAGAAGCAGCTGATGATGAGTTAGATTTAGAAGAAATGGAAGAATTACGGAGATATTCTGGGTAAGTTTTACCTTTTTTTTTCTATTCAATTGTCCTGACATGAAATAAATACGCATGTGTCTCTAAGCCAAGGGCTACTTTTCTTGATACATAATTTAATTGTCATTACAGGCGAATTGAAGGCTTTTTTATGATTGGGTATAATTTGTGAATAGGTAATAGTTTTCTGATTGCTACTTAATTCACAAACTGATTCATTTTTAACGAAATTCTTCTTTTTCCGTGAACTTCAAATGTTCATCAATCAGGGTCTATTTTGCCGGGGCTTATCCATGGCACCCTGGATAACACAGACCATTGGCCGCTCATCAACACTTGGAGACATACTGTTTTGACATTCCTATTTAAACTGTACTTATATAATTACAGTGAGTTTAGTGATCTTGCCACTCAACTTCTGGAGATTTGTTATCGAGCTGATACTGATGCTACTCAACATCTACTCACTTATGAGTTGAAACAATGGAGCAAGCACACTTGTCTGAGTCTTGCAATAGCTGCTCAACACAGAGAATTTATTGCACATCCATGTGTGCAACTCCTACTCAACGATTTGTGGATGGGAGGATTGAATGTAAGAAAAAACTCAAGCTTGAGGGTGAGTACACTTCGTTCATATTGAAGTCAATAGGTATTTCATTGTGCAGTTCAATGTGATATGGTTATCTTCAGAACCCGATACGTCTTTCGGAATACTCTTATTTGCTTATCATTGCTTTTATTATAAAGATAAAAATCAAATAATATTATAGTAAATTGTACGAGACCTTATATTCAGATAGAATCCATGCCTGTTCTTTAGTTACAGCTTTCATTCGTTAAGGACATTTTATCATTTTGGATGTGATGGGCAAGTAATTGCATCATTGGACATAACTATGGCGTCGCAGATTAAAATTCCTGAGTGGACATTAGGCAATGCCAATCGTAAAGATCTCTGTTTTCCCACAATCAGTAGCTTCTTATGTATCATTGGGCCCTTTAAAGATCCTTACTTGGAGTGAAGGTATTGAAACATATCTCTTTTTTTCTTCGGATAATTTCATTCGCTTTTTTTTCAAAGGTTATTCTTGGTATTCTCTTTCCTCCGTCACTCTACATGTTGCAATTCAAGTCGCCAGAAGAATTACAACTTATGCCCCAAACAGCAGAAGAACATATGGATGAACGTAATGATAGTAGTTCCATATCCAGTTCATCATCGTCTTCATTATCTTCCTCTACTTCAAGTTCGTCAAGCAGCAGTTCAAGTTCATCTGGAAGTATAACTTCAGGATTTCAGGTTTGTATCATGAGTTCATATTCTAGGTAAACAGAGACTAATATGTGGGCAAGTGCTTTATTTTTCTATTCAGTTCTTGTTGGATAACTACGAGTTATACGAGTTGGGATATTTTAATATTATATTGAAAAATAAATTGAAATGGTCATGTTTGGAACAAGTGGTATGATATCGATATGTTCAACTTTTTTTGTAATCGGCATTATTTACAGATCTTACATCTGTTGTTTTAAAGTTTTCGACATAATGAACTACCAGTATATGGATTTGGGCATCTTACACGATATTAATTTTTCTTCTGTTGTTGAAGTGTTTAGCCCATTTTCAGCCTCATTTTTCTTTATTTGATTTTCAACGCTCCATGATCACATTTTATTTACTGTTAAATAGAATGTCTTTGATTGCTATCTTCGTGATTCAAAGTTGGCTTTATAGCATTTTTATATTTATAATTGTGCGTCGTTAATTCGACAATAGATCTTATCCAAGTCCCAAGCAACTACCTGCTGTGCTGTCCAATATTCATTGATTGTAGTTGTGAACCTATTATAACATAACTTCTGACTTGGTAACCATTTTCTCCGATGTTTCAGACTTTTAGCGCAATATTAGATATTAATTGACTTTAAATAAATGATATCTATAATATAAACTGCATAAAAGCACACACCCTAAAAACAGCCCTAAAACGATGAATTTATTAAAATTCGCATATAAGTCGACCCAGGCTGTTATTGCTGTCATATCGCAAACATGCAATCGATCATGTGTATTGCAACCAATCACAGACTGTTATCGCTGTCATTGCGTACCAAGCACTCAGTGTTTTAAACTCAGTTTATATCCGAGGATATACAGTGAATCAATTCTAGTATTTTGCGCTTAGAAACTAATGGCTACATAAAATTTTCATCTTCAAATGTTTTATATTTTCAGCATAAACCTGAAGTTGTAGTACGAGGCGTGACTGGTTTGGACCAATCAAATCAACCACCGGATCCATATGATGTATTCATGGCCCAACAGAGACAATTACCTGTCAGCAAAAAGTTGTATGAATTCTACAATGCTCCCATCACAAAATTTTGGCTTTATACTATTTCATACAATGCTTTTTTGCTCATGTTCACATATGTTGTCTTGGTAAGTTGAAATACGATTTATACTAAAAATAACAATTCAACTAATAAAAAATAGGCCAATTTGTTTATTTTCAAATAATTTGTAGCTGAAAATTTCTAAAAAATGGTTTCATTGTCAAATAGTATTTAAGAAAACAAGATATCTGAAGTTTTGTGAAATATGTTATTGGTAATTTATTTCAACCACAACTACAAATTTTTGATCACTTTTACGAAGAAATGTCTGTTTTCAATAACATGCCTAAACATTTTCGTGCTGAAAATAGTACTTCAACAATTTTAATTAAATGTTGATGAACAACAATTTTAATTAAATGTTGATGAAATTCGATAACTACATTATTTTTTAGGTTTCAATGGGTTCATTGCCATCAGTCATGGAATGGATTGTTATATCATATATTTTTACCCTCTCTCTAGAAAAGGTTGGTTATAAGATTTGAAAAATAGTTCTCACTTGGTTTTATGCCACTTTTTTCCTTGTTTACAATATATTTCACGCCTTTTGCCCTGAACAAGTCTATGCATAAGCTAGGTACTGAGGTACTTTTCAAAGAACCAGAATCCTTCCCATTTGGCATTGCCTACCCAATTTATTACACCCTGGGTGTACATACTCAAGGTTTCAACCTGTGATGTCATGATGGCTGCTGCGTCTAACCACAAGGCTTACTATAGTTTGGAAAGACCGGAATCTTTTCGGTTCGGCATAACCTGGGCAAAGTGGTAAAACCCTTTTTTGTTAAACATTTTTTGTAAATTTCAGATGAGAGAAATAATTGCTTCTGAGCCAAGCGGAGGAATTAACAAGCTTAAATTGTGGCTCGGACATTTCTGGCATCGAGTTGATATAGTATTATTGTTAACTTTCTTCTCTGGCTTTGTACTAAGAATGATGCAAGATGAATATTTGTTAAAAATAGGAAGGGCATTATATTGCGTAAATATCGCTTTATGGTACATCAGATTACTGAATATATTCAGGTGAGTGTTTTGTAGACAATAAAGAAATTTTGTTAGAATAATTTGAAATTGGTTACGCTAAACCATCTTTAAATAGTTGTGAAAATTGATGTTTTGTTATAAATTGTCTTTTTCGCAATGAACCTATATTTTGCTCAAATTTCATTCAAATTCAAAAATTCAAATAATTGAAGTTACTATCTTTTGTTTAAACTTACGAAATTATGTCGTATATATAGCCTACCGAATTCAGGAATGGCATTTAATCACAACCTCTTTTGACTATGGGATCAGTCATTACTTTTTTATATACTTTATCTATTCTGTATTTAATCTGTATTCATATTTTATTTTCATTGATTGGTAAATGAAATTTTTATTTATCATGTGTTTCAGTGTTAGTAAATATCTTGGTCCGTACGTGATGATGATGGGTAAAATGATGGTTGATCTTGGTACTTTTATTATATTACTTGCTGTTGTTCTCATCAGTTTTGGAGTCACTAGACAGGTATGAATATTTTTTCTCATCGTAACATCAACCAGTATGAATATGGATGGACAATTTCCACTTCAATAAACGTCATTTGGAGATGGCTATTGGGCTGCCATGTAGAGAGGTTATATTACCTTATTAAGACATTATCACATTACAATCTTGAATATGATGTACATACAATAAATACTACAGTTCTGGCTAGGTGGTGTAAATACAATTCTGGTTGGGTGCATGGCGCATCACGCTGAGCTGGGAAAATACACTTGTCACCCAACTCTGATTACCCTGCGTGGGTTGGCAGGTTCGAATCTCATGTGGGGATAGTTATTTGCGAGAGGATTGCTGGACTTCACACACCGTCGCAGGGTGGTTCCCGTAACCGCTGGTCAGTTACGGCTTCATCCACTATGAAGTCCATGTTTCCGAATACAAATAACTTGCTAACTAATCCCATACCCGACATACACTGCTAACCGGACGAGATGCCGTGGTTCGCCATATGATTACACCGTCTTATTGACTTTTCTCTCCCCCAGGATAAATATGTAAAATCCTATCCTAAATCCAAAGAAGGCAACTGGTGAAAAATAGTAAAATTTCACTCATTGATTTCAAGGCGATCCTGTATCCAGACGAATCTCCGAAATGGTCATTAATCCGTGATGTAGTTTTTGAACCTTATTTCATGCTTTATGGAGAAGTTTATGCTGGAAAAATTGATCGTGAGTTGGAATTTAGTTTTTTTAAAACTTCATTCAGTGAAGGCTTTTACTTTAAAATAGAAAATCGACAGCTTGACCTGAAAATTTAGACCCAAATGGTGTCAGAATATATTCATTATTTTCTGAACCCAATTCTAATTATCCAAGAGGAAAAGTTATTTTCATAAAGTGAATAGAAAACTGAATGCTGTCAATAGCGATGTCCAAAACATTGTAATTTTAAAGGCTGAATAACTGCTTCATCAGGGAATTTTTTTTTTGTGAATTTTGTCTCAAATACAAATTGAAAGATTTAAATTGGTGGGAAATACCTGAAATATTAAAACTACCCTGGCATTGAAAAATCAATATTTCTTAGGTTATCTTAGTAATAATATTTTCATACAACATTTTTCAGCCTGTAGTAAAGATAATGCCACAACTTTATGTGTTGTTGGATCTTGGATTGTTCCCACGGCAATGACGTTATATTTACTTGTCGCCAATATACTTCTGCTGAACATGCTGATTGCTGTTTTTAAGTGAGTCATGTATTATTGTATATTAAGATATTTAGTCAGTAGGTCAGTATTTGCACAAGCTCTGACAAAGCCAATATTGCATATAGGGCTCATTGTAGGCTATTGCAATCAGTACACCACAATGTTGCGACATATTTAAAACTTAGTGAGCGGTGTAATTTATTTGTAATGTATATCGCATGCCGTATCAAGTGTGAAATGTTAATTTATATTCATAATCTTACCTATTGTGTGATGGTAAAGGCTAATATCCAATCTATGTTACATTATTATGGGTTTGATTTCTATGGCTCTAACTATGATGATGGCTCGTATTCTTAGATAGGACCCCTATTCCTAACACCTTACACCAGGGGTGTGCAACCTTTTTTATTGCCGGGCCAAATACAAGTAACTGGGTGAAGCCACAGGTCGCACCTTTATTTAATTTAGGCTTTCTGTTAGTTGCAAGCACAAAAATTGCCTATATTTGCTATTGATCTTACGGCATTATTAGGGGTTCTTGCAGAAATAGATTTAAAACGCATAAACTTCTGAAGAAACTGCTATTTAAATTTTTTGTCACACCGACTTCAAACGAATGCAGTGAGAAACACGTTTTTGTAATATAAATCGTGTATTTTGCAACAGAATTTTGCTAGGTGTCCCAGCGTTTGAAGCGTTAGAATTATCTGTGCTGGCATCTTAAGTTACATATATCACCCATGGTGTAATAAAGTGGCCTTGTTTGGAGTGAAATACATGATAATTATTTAGAACAAAACTATTCTTCTATTATTATTTACGAATTTTTTATTTAAGCAATACTTTCACAAAAGTAAAGAATATATCAGACAAAATTTGGAAATTTCATCGCTATGGAATGATTGTTGAATATGAATTCCGTCCCACTATTCCACCACCATTCATTGTCATCAGTTATATATTTATGTTGGTTCGACTTTGCCTGAAAAAGCGGAAAAAATCAATTTTCAACTCTGATAGAGGACTAAGTAAGTTACTGTAACTCTCTCTTTCATGGCTTTCTATTTAGGTTGCATTCAAATGTAAACTTTCTAGTTTATCAATTTATTTCATGTTTTCAGTGCTGTTGTTCAACTATTTTTCTTAAATATTACCAAATTATCTTCTTCTTAAGCATTCCAGTACATTTGAAAAACTTAGTGTTTCATGAATGTACCTATTTGTCATGTTCACATAATAAATAATAGAACCTTGATTACATTATACACTCGTGTGGTAATCTGAAAATTGTAGTGTTTTTTTATTCTTATCTGTGGAAATGGTTGAAATCAACTTTTTTTTTTCAAGTTTTATCACGTTTACTTGTAATTTTTACTCTTTTCAGAATTGTTTCTTGATGACGAAGATGTTGAGAAGCTTCATGATTTTGAAGAAGATTGTTTGGATGATTTCTTCCGACAAAAGGATTTTAAGAAAGATACGAGCAAGGACTTAGAAATGGCTAAAGTACCTTTTGACAGGTTGGGCCCATTTTTCAATTTGGGACATTCATGGGATCACAGTTGGTATTCCCAAATTCGTTATCCGTCGATTTGATTTTGAATATTCATATTAAATTGAATACGCAGCGGTAAATTTGTTCATAAAATTTTTAATTTTGCGAAAAAGTAATTTTTTATCTCAAATTTTACAGTGATTCTCAATTATCATTGACATCCATCATAAGTACCATCAATTTTGAAATTTAGTTGGAACTAAAGTTTTTATCATTAATTAAAATCCATTCAGATATAGTTGTAAAATATATAATTCTAAAGTTTTCTAGGCTATAATATCCTATGTTCCGGGTATTCAACTTTCTTGGGAATTAGGAAAAAATTTTCAGTATTTAGGTCAAAAAATGATACAAATCAATTATTGGATTTTTTTGAAGCCGGCAGCCTTATATGTCCAAATAGTAACTTGCCCAGACACTTGTTCTGAGCAAATATGCGAAAGATCTCATGAAAATAATATTTCAGAATGGAAAGAATTCTGGACTTTATTGACGAGTCTGAAGAGCATGATAGATTGATTACATCACAGCTTCGTATTCTTGAAGAAAGATTAACTCAACTTGAAGAAATGAATATGAAGGTATGACATTGGATGGTTTTTCATTTGTCATTCGTTCAGATGATCTTCATTGCAAACTCAATTTGGTGCAAGATCATTTTTGGACACAAAGTTTGTTTTGATTAATTGTTGTTAAAATATTGTTTTTATTTTTAAATATTGAACCAATCGCTTTGCAAATTCTTCTTCGAGAAAGCTCTTACTTTTATATTCACATGTTTTCTCTGGACTCCCTGAGACCTGTTGATTTCCTCAAAATTTTATTAGTTTTAAAGATATACAGTGATACCTCAGTAGTCGAATGACTCAAATGACAGTCAAAAATGCTTCTGTACACCAACGAAAGTTCGGTGCTCGAACACCAGAGCGTCAAATGCCAATCCTGAATGAATTAGGTTTGGCTGCGGAGGTATCACTGTACACCTGTAATGGTTTTCCGATTATAGACCTAGTGTGTATTTTTTTCTTTTCCTCTCAAATGCAAGTTTGTACAAAATACAAATACACAATATGAGAATCCTTTTATTCACAACAAAATTGAAGCTAGCCATAAAAGTATTGTTGTGAAATTTGAAAGGTCAACTTTTCAACATCTTTTTTAAGCTGGAGTTGAAGTCTAAATTATGGTCGATGAGGAGTAGAAGTCCAGGTTGTTTTGTAATGCGTTTGGATTTGGAGTCTGGTGTGAATTTTTGCCCACTTCACAGCCCTGTTTTGCCCAGCCCTGCTCCAGTAATACCCGTTTTTTCAGTTCTGAATATGCTTTATTTACCTTCAGATTTTGAGAACCCTGCCTCAGCTGGTGGATGGTCCATATGAAAGCAGTGAAGATTCTCAACATGAATATGATACAGAAGATAGTAAGTTTATATATATAAAATATATTGCTTCCATGACTATAATAAATGAATTATAATTCATAAATGAAATTATGCTAAAAAAAATCATTCAAATGAGTCATGTGGTGAGTAAATTTTAGTATTTTCGAAATACAAATTGGAAATTCAAAAACCCTCTTATAAATAAATTCGTATTAAAATGGTGAATGTAAGAATAACCATATTTATTCTTCTGCCAAAAATCTATCAGTTGCAGGTTTGCAACATAGAATTCTAGTTAAACAGACATTTTATAGTATCATATTTTCCGGACCATAAGGCGCATTGCTTCGATTGATTTTTTCTTCCCTGAAGCATAACTGGTACTGGTTTTGTGCGTAGGCAATAAAGCATGAAGCACTACCTGATCCATACATTTGATTAGGCGCACTGGTTTATAAGATTTTTTTTTTAAACACATCTTCAAGTCTTCGAATTCAAAGTAAAATATTATGTTCAGATTTTGCTACAATGCGAGAAAGAATGAGATTTCATATTCATCGATTAAGACAAGATTCAGAAATGAGCACACTAAGTGACTGGAATCCTTCTAATATTTTAATGCAAAGGTATGATGGGATTTAGAATTTTTGACCACAGATAGGACCTGTGAATGTTTTGTTTGGTTGTTGTTGTTTTTATTGGGGTGTCGTTGTGAAAAATTACTTTTCTGTGCAACTAATGAACCAATGATTTCCATTTTCTGTGCTTGAAGATGGAAGAGTTCACCAGAAGTCTATTATCAATATCATCATCCGAAGTCCCATTTTCACCCAAAATTTTACTGTTTACTCTAATTCATGGAAAGACTGTTTTGACTTTTGACCTTCGTGTTCATATATTCAAGCAAAAATTATGAGAACCAATCAACCAATAAACTTCAAGTTTTCATTGTTTACAAATGGAAAGGGCCCTTAAAATCTTAATACTTCAAATTTCTTGTTTCTATTTTCATATTTCCTCTTGGATTCGCTGAGTGCTGTGTCGCGTTGCCAAAGGTTTTTGGTCATCATTTTATCAAAAGGTTTAATTTATAACTTGTCGCTCTTCTAACTCTAAGAAAGTTCTTCAGTTTGTTGATGGACACTATCAAGTCATTCAGTTTTTCATATATTTTTATCAATATAGATTTAAAAGCCACAACACAAAAAATCGTGAAAGACATGCTTCAGAAAGATTATCGCAAGCAGCTCTCATCGAACATAAATTAAGAAAAACAAATTCAACTGGTATTTTATGAATATTATTAATGATTATATTCTCGTAATGAGATTTAGGTCTAGTGAGAAAGTTCAAAAGAACACTTTGACGTTTTATGTGTTTCATATTCTTGCTTGGATTTGAACTAATTTTGTTTCATATTTTCTATTTTGAATTTAATCCGTTTTAAATTTACCAAAAATTACTGAAATTTTTTTTAGAACCAGAGTGGTTGAATTAAGAGTTTGGCATATTTCAATTGATATTAGAGTCTAAGGCGAGATCGAAATTTACGCCAAATTTTTCATGGTCAAACTTAGGTTTTATTCAAGTTGGGGATCTGAATTGAAATCTCCTTGAGTCTGGAGTAATTTTTTTAGTAGCTCAGGAGATGGGAATCTGGTGCAGATATTCCCCAGACTCCACAACCCTATCTAACTCGATAACTACTGATTAGTAAACTAACATACTTTGACTGATTCGTCATTTTCCATTGGTAAAAAATTTACAGTCACATTTACATAAAATCTATATCATAGATGTTGTTCAATATTTCAAAGGTAATATGGAGATTCTAAAACGGAATTCTATGGATAATGCACATGGACCTACAATGTTGGAAACACCTTCCGGTCTTCAAAGTTCAAGTTATCATGCATTGATGACAAGACCTTTTGTGGATTCGGAACAAAAATCTGTGTCTTGCCAGGTATAAATATAGAAATTTTTTAATTGGGAAGGGGACACTGTTTTAGGCTTTGACAGAGAAAAGATTTACCAGTGAAAGTTTAAAAAATAACCAGTGCTTGGTTCTTTTTTTCGATCCTTCCGTAATTTTCAATAAGAAGTCCCAGTAGCAAGTATTGTTGAAAATCAGTATCTATTGGCATTTTTCTTGACATTATATGGCTGAGAGCCAAGAAGAATGGTCAAAATTTTTTTTTTCGAACAACAATAAATACCACTTTTTCTAACCAATGTAAATATGTTTCATATTTAGGTACCAATGTGCTAATACATTCAAATGCCACTAAGAGGTTCAAAGTACATTTTATATTTAACTATATTTCTACGGGTAATACACCTGTAATACTATTTAATTAACATTTCTAAGTCTGTGTTCTGTACTTGTGATGAACATTTAATGACAACTGTAACTATGTCGGTGAGTCAAGTTGAAAATGCATGATATGCTTATTAGAAGATGAGTCAGATACATCCAAATATGTCAATCTGTATAGTTTATTTAGTATTCTAGAATTTAGAACAACTGCCATATCAGTTTAGATAGGCAGATCCCGAATAAGGTTACTTCACATCAAAATCGAGATGTATGCCAAATTTTATGTACAAATTTGGCACATATATGTCATAAATTACCTACTGAAACAGCAGATTTTGCATTAGAAATCACCTTTTTGGACACGTTAGTATTTAATATGCTTACAAAGCAACCTAATAATGCATAGCGTGAAGCCTTAGCGATTAAACTGTTGGAATAATAGCATAGTGAGCATTAGAATAGAGCATTTGGTATTTTTTTGACATTATTCGTGCCTGAGCATACAAGTACAAAATGGTATTAAACTTATTTGTACCTCAAAAAATAGATCTTCAAATAGATGTTATATATAGTCATTAGGGCTGGGAATTTCAGGGAAAACACTTTAACCGTTAACCGGGTAGAATTAACCGGTTAACCGCCGCATGACGTTTGACGTAATAAATTATAATCTCAGCTTGTTACGTCACAATGCTTATAAAGCAATTTCGCGTGTTCGTATCCCGGTATTGCTTATTAAAATTATTCACGAATCGAGATAGTTTCATGATTGCTCTGCTTCAAGAGATAGGCAGCGTGGTTCGGGCGTGTTGAAGTATTTTAGAAAACCTGATTCCGTTGTTAAACGTCATTTATGTGACAAATTATCGGTGTTCGATGTGCAAATTTTACTTCGAGGTATATATCACAAAGAAAAACGGCATCAACTGCGCACTTGTTGTATGACATTGAATATCCGATTTTGCAATGAAATCGTGAACAATATATTTCGAAATCGACCGAAAACTGATTCATTCAAAACTGTGAATTCATTATACTTTTAAAACATAAATAACCAAAAAAACTTCCTCTAGTAAGATGATATGCTCCCAAGACCACTCGTTGCTATTAAAGTGGGTGGGCAACATAAGGTATCTGGTATATGTAGACTTTAATTGATCAACAAATCTTGTTTTAGGATTTTTTGATGTTGAAAGACGATCATGAAGGTGTAGGGATTGAATATCAAGATCCAATAAAAACAACAGACGATATTGTATCAGGGAGTGAATTTCTACCTTCAGATTACGTTGATGAAAATACTCCCGTTGAAATCAGGTAAAACACTTTGGACTAAAGATGGTAGGATATATATAGTCTGGTTTCTAATAGTTGCGAATATAAATAGATTTGAATAATGTGGAAAGATTCATTGTGTGAACCGCCAAATTTTAAATGAATCATTAGGAATTCATTTTATCTGGTTAGCGCATGATTGCCAATAGGTATATTCATGTTGAGTTGAGTATAGATAGAGCACAACCATTGTTAGCAAAATGATGTAACTTACCAATATTTTAATACGGAAGAACTTGATCAGGGCATGACATGTTCCAATGGTGTCGCTGCTCGTTAACCAGTAATGGTGTCTCGTACCTCCCTCCACCCTGAAGTGCCATTTGACTTCTTTTTGTATTGTTTATTCATTAGCTCTATTTCAGTATGGTGGATAAATAAACTACTGATTACTGTTAAAGACACTAGCAGCATAATTTCGTTCGTAAATTATTTCATTTTGTCAATACTGGTTGTGCTCTATATATCCTCAACAATTGTTTTCGTTATCTGAGTTATCCGAAAAATACACACATAAGTTCAATGACTAAGATTCTGCTTTGAGTTCTAAAGAGTATTCGAAGGAGGCAATGTTTACCAAGTTAAAGATATATTTGTCGTTGATTTGTCGACTCATTGGTCGATATTACTGTATTTTTATACAAATTTGCAGGAAACCAAGCTTTGGGACAAGTCAGAAACCAAAGATACGATTCAGTGATAATATACCCATTGTAGATGCTCATCCTTCCGAGTATCCTCAAAGTTCTAATACTCAACGAGAAGCATTGTCTGGGAATGAACGATCTTGTTCTAGTATATCTGAATCTGATGATCAAGAGTACGGGATGCCGTTTGTACAGCGTAGAAAACGAATTAAGGGTTCTGGACGTTTTGTCAAAAAAAAGTTCAACACTGGAACCAAGTTACCCATGCTTGTCATAAACAGTCCAGAAAGACTGGAGAGCACACTCGGATTGACGCCAGTAGAAGACAACAAAAATGAAAGGCTGAATAGTGAAAAACAAGTTAAATTAAAAAGAGGTATTCTTTTTATTATTATTTTTTGTCTTGGCAAACCTCATTCATATGCATTAACATGGTATAGAAAGCTGCATCATTGATTTCTTTTGCATACTTTTGTCTTTCCCCTACATATCATTACCTAGTCACGTGGTGTTTTTTTACTTGTGCATGAATTGTTTGATCATATTAGGATTTGGAATCAACCAATTAAAATAACCTCGCTCTGTGAATTCTAGTCTAACTGTTAAGCCTTGTCAATTTATGGGGACAGTTTACAGGGCTGCCAGATAGCCATCGTAAAAGTATCATAGACAGAAAAAAATATATTGATTATTTTTGTTTTTGTGGAATCATAAATGATATCTATATATTTGGAACATGCCTGAATGGTTGATTTATCTCATGGCTTGCTTCATGATCGTATCAATATTGCATATTTCAATGAATTTGGTATTAGTAATGTCACCTTGATTTATATCTTTGACTAAATTATACTGTCATGAATCTAACATTCTAATTTTTGCTTACAGGTCCAAACTCTTATCCTCTTCTCAATCTAATGCAAGAAAGAAACGATTCTACGAAATCTAGACGAATGACACATAGTCCTGGTTTAGGATTTCAAAATAATGATCCAAATTATCAAAGTATGTTTGTACACGATGTGGATTTATCAATTCTACAAACCACTTTAATCACTATACCTCCCTACCATGTAGAGTAACCGCTTGGTTAGAAAAGTTGAAAATTGTTTTGCACGCTGGATAAGGTGTTTAGAATGAGCATTGGGTTAACTTTGTGATGCATACATAGTTTGGGTTAGTGCCATAACTTTTTAGTCAGATCAAATTATATTGGGAGTGTTCATGTTTCGTGCCTGAAATGCATGCAAATATGCTAGCTTCAGTCGAGGTTAGTTTCAGTATTTTACTAATATGAGGAAAATAGGGGATAGGACAGTAATTCAAGTTCATTATAATGGAGATCTGTGAACCAATAGCTTGAATTTAAATTCTGAAAATAATATTTTCTATATGCTAGAGGAATTCATTTATTCGATTTTCTTTCAGGTACAAGTTTCAATCATAACCTTAATTCTCCTGGTATTCGACGTACTATTCTTTCATCTGCTACTCCGAATCAATCATTTTATAAAAGTATTACTGATTGCATTGATACATCAAGATGGCATGATGCTAATTCAACTGCAGTACCTCAAACTCCATTCGAAATGTGGCTGAATAAGGTACTATTTTTATTAAAAAATTTTATTTTAAATCTTCACATTTGATGTTGTGTGGCACTGGCATCAATACCAAAGGGATTTGAAGGATTGTATATATATATTTAGGTATCTGCCAAGTGGCATTTGCAATAGACAAATTGCTGCCTAAATTTTTGAGCCAAATTTGATGAACTAAATATCACCACTGAGTCAATAGCCTATGGTGTTAGTCAATTATGGTAACTGCCGAGCTAATATTCCCAGAAAATTCATTTCCTTAGCAATATATGTTATGCCAGTATATGATACTGTCAATATGACTTTCTATTACCTATTATAACAATACCAATGTGTATTTTTTACTCCTTTTTGTTTTTTCCAATCTGTAGCCTGAGTTCTCTCATCAATCAAGATCTCCGATTTTTCAATCAGACCGAATATCATTGGATGAATGGGAAGATGAACCACCTTCTCTACAGTAAGTAACTTTAGCTTAATCATTTTGGTAGTTTACTGGGCTGGCTGTAGGTCTGTGTCTTCATATAATGATTGAGAGTTTCAATGATGATAGTGTCAAAACATTAATGGTATGTTAGGTTTAGTTAAACATACATGAGTGTGAGTGATATCAAACAAAGTTTTTATAATTCTCTTGGCAACATTTTTTTTCATTAAAAATTATTTTCCTTACTGAATACTTGATATTTGTGTGATAGACCAACACCTTCATCAATCACAGCCTAGATGAAAACTTTCGAATTACAGGAATAGATCAATCTAGATGTTTAAGCATACTATAATTGTTCTATCTGTATTTACTTATTACAGTCCTAGGAGATCATCGAGAAGGGGAAAACGACATCATCGTACTAGATCAAGACTTTATTCCAACAACAGTTCCTCATCAATTAAATCAGCATCTTCTAAGCATAGGAGGGGAAGCGTTAGAAAACGCCGACATAAGCGGAAAAAAAAGTTGCAAAAGGCATTGAAAGAGAATTTGGAGGTGTGTAGTATTTGGTTCATCCTGAATTACGTTTATTGTTGCTGGGCTGTACAATTATCTAACAGACCATGTTGACCTTTGTTGAAATTTCTATATACACAAAAAAGAGATGAAAACTGCTAGTTCACAAGAATTTTGCATCCTTTTAGCAAGGAAGATATTTACAATATTCCATATGTTTTTGTAACCAAGCCCTTAAAAGTTGTATAGTTTATATTTGATACCAAGGTAGTGAATGGAAAAATGAACTCCTTTACTCATTATGAAATTTAGGAGGAAAACACAGCATTAACTTCATTGAAAGTGTCAGAGTGTCAAAAACAACTATCCACTGTCAAAGAAAATTCTGCGCTGTCTTCCAGTCAAATACTAGATCATGATAACACTGTATTCATTAAAACACCAACTCCCATCTTCAACATCAATAACTGTAATTTGAAACAAATCTCAGCATCAAAGTAAGTACAAATATTTTCTTTCGAAAGAAAACATTAATTATTGCCCTATTACTTTTCCAAATTTACTATAGTGTTTTGCTTGTTTTTATACTTTATTTAATGATTGGATGTTTCACCAAGTATTGACTTTCTTGACAATCTGTAGCATTTGCTCATCAGCAAGATGTCGAGGGTGACGTATTAATTGTAATTTTACCAACTGCGCAGACACTTTTCATTGAGATAGATTTGTAGTTATTGTTAACTTGTATGAATCGAATTACTCATGGCCAGTTTCTGTCTTCTGAAGAGTTCTGGTACAGTTGCAGTAATCAAAAATTAGTCCCCAAAAGCCACAGATAGACTTAACTTGGCTCTAAGTTCCTTGAAATGGCATGTGGGTGAATATTTTGAATCAAAATGATGATTATGAACATGTAAACCAGTTTGTATGCATCAACTTTCAAAACCACTTGAAATAAGTATCAAATGTTTTGCAGTTATGAAGTATACAAAGAATTTTTCTTCAGGTCAGAAAAAAATATCCAGGAATTAGCACCGCTCTTAATTTATATTTTGTTATTCCATTAGAAACGAAGACGGCAGCAACTCTGATTCATTCATGTCTAGATATGCATGCATAAATCATGACAACAGTGCCACAGTTTCAACTAACAATCAAGATGCAAATGAATATGATGAAAAAACAAACTTGTTATCTAGATCAGGTACTGGAACTACCACTTATGATAAACCACTACTTTGTTGAAATTTTGCTCAAAAGTTATAAGAATATTCAACAAATCATCATTTTACACTTATTTTTTAGTGGTTTTTAGCAAGTCATTTTTGTGACATTTGGTTTGTGCTTCTTACTGTGTTTTTTGACATGTTTTAAATTCTGATTCATCAGTATATATCATGATTCTTCATATGGAAACATGTCAGTATTCCAGTTTCACACTGACCGCTTCTACAAGGTTCTATGCAGGAAACCAGTTAAAAAAATGTTTTCTAGTGGAACGAAATAGTAGCAATGGATGTGAATAGTAGTATTAAATTATTTAAAAATTCTGCAGTTGATAATGAATTAAAATATTCAAAAATGCTGCTTCCACTATTTATTCTTAGATAATATGAATCTGTTTGAGCCATGCAGCTCTGTTCTACTAGTGCACAATTTTTTACAATCATAGTATTTGGAATTTATTGTATTCAAAACTCGTTTTTTTCTTTTGTGTTAAGTACTCCGCTTCTTAAGATTTCAATATACACAATGTATTGTTTTACCTTGCCAGTGTCAGTTGCATTTTATTTGTCTCTTAAAACCTGTTTATTTTATTCATCATACTGTATTAGCTTCTTTTCTTACCTTTCGCCTCAACTTCGACCAGCAGTGTACTGATAGTGTGACATCAAATTTTTTTTCAAATACGATTTACCAAAGAATATAGGTAGTTAATGAATTTGAAAAAAGTCCTAAATTCGTCTATATATTTTAAAATGAATTGGTTGTTAGAATTAAAGTTATAATATTTGTTCTTGTAGACCGAAGTGGAATATTTGCATTCAACTTTATAAGCCTTCATTATATAATTTATTTAATATTTGTTGGCATGTTTTAGTGCTATTCTTGTTATTTGCAGGTCATGATTTTACTGTGCTTTTAGTTTGCCTATATCCAGTGGTGGGATTCAAATTTTTTGTCAGCCGGTTCTGTTACGAACAGAACCTTGACAGTAATCAGTGATGCTAACCGGTTCGCTGATCTCATAAAATTCCGTGAGACGGTTCTATAGAACCGGCTGAATCCCACCACTGCCTATATCCTAATTTATGTGTCCAGCTTTAAAATAACCAAGCTTATCAAGAGAGATTGTGGCAAACTGACCTATCCCCCCAATTACTTATTTTCAATGCCTTTGACATGTCGTCAAACTGGTCTGCCGTTTTATGCCTTTAATATATTTTACTAGTTACTACTGTGCTGATCAATAAAGTCCTCTATTGTTGGCAAAACTCAGTTTTAATAAGCTACAGCAGTGAAGCGCCTTCCAACTTGTTCTTGAATAAAAATATCTTCATGAAATTAGGCACACAACTTCGTTCATGTTAGAACAAGGAACTGATGGCTGCAGTGGACATTTTTTTCTACATGTATAAAAGCATCACAAGAAAGAAGAACCAATTATAAAGCCTCGTTTAGACAGCTTTCCAGGTGTTTAATCGGACTTCCTGAAGTATGCGCACCAGAATGGCGCACAACCTGAACTCAGGCTGTGTACCATGTTAGGGTACAACCCTCCCCCCCCCCCTAATTTTGAGGTGCGATTCCACACTGTATTTCCTAACTCAAGTATAATTGTATTCAAATATAACGACTATGGCATATTTATCAGTGTAGATGAGGGGTTCTAAACCGCAGTCTGCGGGCCAATTACGGCCAGCGTGACGATTTAAAATGGCCCGCCGAACTTGAGTGAAATAGTTTAACCCTTCATGTGGTACCTTTTGAGTTTTAGATATCGTTTATTGTTACATCATTATCACAGTTTAAGCACGTTTATTTCGTAACAATTGAATTATACCGGTATCTTATGTATACGTATGGGTATTAGGATTTCACACTGCAGTATTTTAGATATCAGCCGTATATTAGGAAAGCTTGAAGATGTCACAAAACAAAAACTAGGCACTGAAAACAGACGTTTTTTATATGAATGACAGCGTTTTTATTTCTTTATTGAAAATAATCAAACTTCAGCGATTTGTCTTCTTACCAAAAAATATTTCAGTTCTGAAGGAATACAACATTATGACCATTACGACGTGCGTATTTCAAAATTTAATTCATTGCTTAATCCATACAAAAGTCAAACAAACATGTTCAAAAAAAAAAAATGTATAACAAAACAAGCCATGAGTAGCCATTCATACAATGCCGGATGAGCAAGTAACTTCATTAGTCACTATCAGTTGCAAATTACTTGTTGAAACGTAGTAGTATATATTTACGGTGACCGTAAATTCGAACCCATGCGTATATCCACGGGTTCAATCTATATGCGGGTGCTAAAACCCATGGGTTAGTATGGGTTAAACTATCCGTGAAACCAAAAAAAAATTCATAGGTGCAATAGCATACAGGTGCAATTGCCATGGGTTCAAATGTAATGGAACCTATATTTACGGTTGAAAGCCGTGCTTGATTTCTATTTCCCGGGAATTCTATCAGCTAAATATTATAATTATTGATTTCATTACATAACAAACTGCGATGCTAGGTGTATCTTTTCCTCGCTCCCCTTTTATGGCCCTACAATTTTATTCTGCTGTGGATTTTGGCTCGCCGTCAATCAACTTGGGCCCCTCATGTACATTGTTTCTCAAATACATACCATTTTTTTAAGAATACAAATAGCCTAGTTTCGAACCCCCCCCCCCCCCCTAAAAAGAAAAGCTGGGGAATATACTGATGACGACACAGCTGCGAAGAACTCCAAATCGACCCCATCTCAACAAAGAACTTCCCTTTGGGGAAATAAAAAACATAACGTACTCACGTACCACCTGGAAGACCTTCGCGTATCATTAGTGGTACGCGTACCACAGTTTGGGAATCACTGCCCTAGATGAATCAAATACATCGACTGGTTGGTTACACCATCTCCGAGGATTCTTCTTTGAATAATGTATATCAATGGCATTAAACGCTTCCCCGGAATTGGGATTCCCTTACCATGTTGGACGGTATTTGACCCATGAGTGCGCACTCCACTCCTAAAAAATCATGTTTATGCCTGGAGGTCACATTTGGCTTGATGCTCCTGTGACAAACTTGCCTCATTTAGAGGGGACCACGGCAATAAAAAAGCAAAACACTGAAAAATTATTGATAAATTTTAGGGGTTCGAACCTCATTAAAAAGGCGAAAATACATTCAAGCCTTAAAAAGTAGACACTGAGAAAATATTTCAGTGTATACAATGCAAGCGACAGACTTGCTCTTCATACTGGAATAACTAACATTTACGCATTCGAACCATCCGAAAGCTCACTTAGCCACCACTCTGAAGAATTTTTGTCGACTTGAACCTTTGCCTTTTGTCTTACCAACCAATGCTATGCTCTTATCAGTATCTTTTAAAATGATTTCTTGGCTGTAATTGCCTGACCAGTGACCACCCATCACCAAATGCAAATTGCAAACATCAATCACAAGGGCGCATTATGTTGCTCATGAAGCTTTGGAGCTCAACTGTGGAATCATCATCCAAGTAACTTGCATATGATTTCTTCCCTTCAATATGCCAACTCTTCCCGGTTGACAAATGGATATGCAACAAAATCTGCCGCTTTCGAGCCATCTTTATTATAATGAAGCATCCTGAAGCAAGCATCACAGAAAAAAGATGGATCTTCGTCAGATAATTCATCATTTCTTGTCAACCACGTAGCAACGAAAAAATTACATACCTGCGTTCAGAAAATAAAAGACATCTCCGGTAATTAAAACACTCGGAAAGCAAATTGATGAGAAAAAATATAAATGTTTGCTACCCGTTCGACAAATTAATGCATAGTCATCTATATATATATATAGTAGTATTATTTTGTCTACCCCGAAGAGAAGGTCATCTAAAGATACATAGATTAGTATAAAGGTCGTTAACCTAATTCAAGAGCATTGACACCAACCTTGCATATAAAAGACTTGAACTTCGCACGAGATATGGAAAGGGGGTAATTTGATCTTGATTGGCAGTCGTCCGAATGAAGCAATCTGAAAGTAGAATACAGATTTGAGTTAAAACAAAATGTTGATTTTTTGTCAATTAAAAGCTTAACATATTGTAACCAGCAGTTTTGTGCCTGAATCAAATTTAGCCGCAACTTACCTGATATCCTTGAATATTATGACATGTTCACAATTGCCCTGATGCATGTAGAGATAAGGTGAGCCGAGACACAAATCTAAATCATCAAATGTATAGTCTTCCATATTAAGACATTTGCAATCTGAGGGCATTTCCGCACCATTTGCTTCTACCCAGTCGAAAATAATTCTGCATACATTAACAAAACAAGCTTGGTTAAGCACTCTTAACTGAAAAAAATTTACTTATAACCCATGTTGTAATGCACGCACAAACATAACACAGACAAGAACAATGAAACCTTTTAGTGTTAATCTTAACAGTTGAACCCACAAGCCAACCAGTGTAAATTGGGTAAGCTATGTTGAACAACAATATCTTCTCTACCCTCTTCAAGTGATAATTTTTGAGAATTAGTTGAAGAATTCATATTAAAGACATCCAAGTAGCGCAGGATGCATTCAAACTGTGATTGTATAAATATTGGCCTAATCACCGCTTTGCAATAAGTAATAAATACATTTCTATAATGAAATAAACTTACTTGGATATGTCATTTTGAGTTTCATATCGGTGATCATTGTAAAAAGTATTTTCAATAAAAAAGAATCCAGCTTTATATAAATCTTTACATTTAATATCCCGAGGATGATCTGGATTATCAGTAAATTTACCAACTGGTTGCTGATCTATCGCACATGGTATTATATCTCTGAGTTCTGTCAATTTCTACAAAACAATAAATATAAATGCACAAAGATTAACCAAGTCACCAAGAGTAGCATATTACATCACACGAAGAATTTTAGTGGAATTACGGTAATTACAACTTGCAGTTGAAATGGTACTGGACCCAACTCGACAAATAGATTTTATATACGGTAGACTTGAATCCAAGTTGACATTATTTAAAACGGACCTTTACTGGGACTTATGACTAAAAATGTGAATTGTAGGAATGACAAAACTGACCTGAGATCCTAAAACTCTATAATCAACAGTTGTGTGTTTATACGTTCTATATGATCTTGGAAAATTGACACCAATTGTTATCACAGTTTCTGGACATTTTATTTTATCATCCTTATTCTTCGCAGGCTTTGATGATAGCTGATTTTCCTGGAAACAAAAACCCAGTTATACCCACTTGAGCCTATCAAACATAAAAATAATTTCGAATTATTTTTTGGCCATGAAGTTCTTCTCGTGGAATCTTCAACCACACTAGAATGGAACCCAAGGGCAACAAGTCAAATGGCTACAGCAGTGGTTTTCAGCCTTTTTGTTAAGGCGGAACACAAATGAAACATTTCAGAGGTTCGAAGTGTTAGTTTGATTGTCTGAGTTGTATAAACTATAACTACATATAAAACCGAACCTAATACCAGCAAAACAGAATTATTTTGATGATTAAAGTATACCAAGTGGTGGTATGCTATTTGATTACATTTAAACGATTTACAAAAGGAAAAACTGTTTCAAAATTATGCTTTGGCAAATTCCTAAGCACTACAATACCGGGATCATATAAAAACCAGTCATACAAAATACTCTTACCATACAACATATGGAATTGAACATTAGTTTATTATTATATAATAAAGCATTAAATCGAATTATCCTAATAAATAATCTGCCTAATAACAAATTCACAATAAAACTAAAATTCATATCTCTATAAATCATACAGAATGCTAAAATATGAAAACAAAAGAAGAGAATATTCTGAAAATCTTACCAAGTTGCAATCATATTCAGTGTATTTACTCTTGAGAATAATAGTTTTCTTTTCTAGATTCCTCGTTTTATTCAACTTTATCCATGCCTTCACAGTATCCAGTCCAGAATCAGTAGGAATAAGCTTGACATCTTCCCAACGATGGAAGTTTTTCTCTCGAGGACATTCAAGCTTATTTGGACTAAATTGCACAAAAAATGTATGCTGACGTATTTCTCAACATGAGAGAATTACTGGTATATTACTTACAGTGCATCAAAAAATGTCAACTGTCACAGAAGACAATTTCTGTGTAACAGACGAAACCAAGTCACTGCATCATCAGGTTTGTTGCCATATATGAGATATCATTCAAAATTGACCTGATCAAACGATTTCTAAGATGGGGTTTTGACTATTGAGGATAGAAAGCAGTTGCCTATATCAGTTTAGAAAATTCAGTTAGAAGAATTTGCTTTTTTACTTGTGAAGTCTCTTTAGCAACACAGTACTTGGTAAAAACCAACCTACAAACTTCCATCAACTCGGTTGCAGTTTCAACATTCGTGTTTAGATCATGAGCAACATCTTCTGGTGTGTCTGATATTTTCTTATCAATGTTCATGTGAAATTCATCAAGTACTTGTGAGGCATCTTTCTGAAACATAAAATTAGGTCATAGTACACAAAATGGAGAATGTATGGAATATTGCTAGTCCTTTTCTAATAATAGTTTACCTTGAACTGCCCGATATGGATTAGTGGTGATATCATTCCCATTGCTTCAGATACTCTGATGCTTACATTTCTCTTCTCATTCAATATTTTTGACATTTTGAAATAGGTAATTTACTTTCTTATTCTAAAAATATTTTAGTTCATAACTGGGGTGATTATGGCGTGAAATGGTAACCATAATCATATAAAACTAAAACCATATTATTCCATAAAAAATCTACAGGTTAATCAATAAATAATTGTTACATTTAATGTTTTCATTCACTTTATGGCATTTTATAATTTATTCTTTTCCTGTGATGACTATGTTCTATCAGCTTCAAGAACATTTCTAGAGATGAGATTGCCATTCACCATTCCCTGAATATGATCACATATTATTTGCTGACCCTTTTTCAGCAACACTCTGGTTATCGCATATTCAGTTCAAAAATATATCAACGTTGGACAACTTTAACTGTTCCAAAAGTCAAAACAGATGGCCATAAAAGAATTCATCTCCTATGGCGGTGGTGTCTGTCACTATGATGATGATCACGACGAGAAGATTCATTTCTCCTGCTATCTCTATGCCTCTCTTTACTACTGTCTTTTTTCTTTTTATCATTCTCTCTTCTCCTTTGATTTAAAGGATTTCTGGGATCAGTGATTTCATATCTATCTTCATTAACATCTCTGTTCATATCCTTAGCATCTCTAAGTTCATGGTCGACATTCTTAAATTTATGATTCATCCATCCAACAACATTGAAATTGTTGTCATCATCATCTTTAGCTTCATCTTCACTACTCTCTTCTTCCTTTACCGCCAACATCTTAGAACGAAAGCTGCCCAACATTGCAAGTGTTTGCTGTTCTCGTGACAATCCTTTCTTATTTGTTCCAACAATTTTATCCCGATAGATTTTCTGTTGAGCTTTATATTCAGCAAACATTTGATTTGAAGATGCAGTATTAGTTTCATTGTCACTTCCAGATGATGAATCAACTTTTTCAATATTTTCTTTAGACTTTCCTGCTAGTTCTCTGGCAAGCATTCTGGACTCGTTACGAAGTTGTTTCAGTTTTTCATCCTTTATGTTTTCTTTAGAAATCGTCTTTTCAGTTGTATCAGACCTATCTATTTTTGCCCTTTTCGCTGCTGTAAGTTTGTCTTTTATTCGTTGCCTAGAATTCCTTTTTTCTTCTTTTCCTGAAGAAGACTCATCAGTAGAATCTGACGATGAAGACTCACTTTTGTCTCTGTCTCGTTTACATGTTTCTTCATTATCATTTTCTTCAAGTTTAGAAATAGCTGGTGCAGCACTCAATTTAGGATCTTTTGCCAAGTCATGACTACTTTTTGAACCTTTGAAGGCCAATTCAATGGATTCTTCTTCATCAACCTCTGCTTCATCCCCAAAGGATAATAATTTGTAATCCTTTGTGGCACGAGATTGACTCTTAGCCTTTGTTTTATCATCTTTCTTTTTCCTATTTCTCTCAGGCTCTACTCTGGGTTCAATGTCATCAAATGGATTAGCAAGAACTTTTGTCCATTTTATCATTGGGGGATTTAAAGGTCTTTCATTTTCATCTACATCGACCTCACCAAGCCTAACCATGTTATATACAGTATCACCCGTAACTTTAGCAAATATTGTATGTTTTTTGTTCAAATCATTACATGGACCCAGAGTAAAAAAAAATTGGCTAGCATTGTCATTTGGACCAGCATTAGCCATCGCCACGAGTCCTCTTCGAACAAAACGTAATCTTTGATGCAGTTCATCTTTGAAAGGTTTACCAAAAATGGATTCACCACCAGATCCAGTCCCAGTAGGATCACCTCCCTGGACTATGAAACCTGGCACTACGCGATGAAATATAACATTGTCATAATATCCCTCCATACATAATTGCACAAAGTTTCTGCATGCTATAGGTGCCTCTTTCGACCATAATTCAATATCAATATCCCCAAGTGATGTATGCAAAAGAACTTTGCCATTGGTTGAGGGCTCTTTAATGTAAATGTTGCTCATTATAATTATTTATCTGTGAAAGAATTCAAATAATAGTTAACAATAAAACTGAACAAGAAAGGATGCCTAAAAACCAGGCCTTGTTTACTATGGGATTACCACATAAATAGAAACAGGTTGAATAAAATAAAGAGAATGTTTTAAAAAACAAAGGTTGTTGCCCAGGAATCTGGTGCTAGAGACCACTAAATCAAAATAATGATTTGTAACTCTTATGAGACCCAATTATGTAACTAAACCTGTCATGATGACAAAAATGAAACATGGTTTAGAACAGGGGTGGGCAAGGTTTTTGGATTCGAGGGCCAAAATTTTTGCACACCTAGGCCATGTAAGTGTGATGTAAAAAATTACATTTTTTAAACAATATTTACATTGCCATAAAAGCAAAAGTGGAAACAATAAGCCTCATGCTGAAACTAAATTGATTCACAATCTCAACAAATTCATTAGTTAAGCTATTTTCAGCTAAAACACCAAAATTTTAGTTTGGTTGTGGCTGCATCAGGCAGGCCAGATTGAATTACCCAACATGCTGGATTTGGCCCGCGGGCCGTAGTTTGCCCATGTCTGGTTTAGAATCATTTATAGAAATCAATTATAGCAATCAGTGCGAACACCTTCTTTACGAGACAGTCTGGGCCTCCATATCAGCACAAATCACCAACCTGACACTGCACAATAACTAAAAGAATACGCAATCTAAAAACATCAACATCACATTCTTCGGAAAATAATAATCCAATTTACTGGAAGAAAAAAGAATTTTATCGTAGCATTTGACAGTTTTTAGCAGAAAAAGACATTTTTGGTCACATTATCAAATATCTATCATCACATTCACAACACATAGGTATATATCGCAACAAATCTACCTAATTATAAAGAATTAAGCAATTGCAATTTGCCGATATGCATAAACATTTTCTGGTTCGGTGTTTAGATTAACACACCGTGATTTCAAGACGTGAATACAGGAGTAGCAGATTGTTCTCATTTTTAGCTTAGTGTGGTAATGAATGTGATAATGCAAAGTAACTACGTTATGATACCCAGTAATAGGAAACTGACAAATCTTTAACCAAGTTATACGTAAATGCCTTATCGCACAGGTGTATAAAACAAATTGAATATTCAAATACATTCACAATTCATTATATTCAATATAGTAAATATTTGAATTTAGGGATAGTTGGGAACATTTTCATCAAAAAATTAGGAATTTTGAGTCATCAGACATGTAGATCAAAACGTATGATATCCCAACTGCTAGTAAACAACAAAAACAATTACCTTTCGTATTTATGTCGTTTTAGATATGATTAACGTGAAGAAGATATAGACAAATGATTTATGCAATCTTTCACATGAACGTGATGATAATTTAAAACATATTCGATATTTCATATTCCTCCCTTCATATTCGTATCCGAAAATATTTTCTCAGAATTTACTTGAAATAATTAAATATAATAAATATATAGTAATATAAGTACACAGAGAGAATCAATGTATGTTATTTGTCACCATAAAAAGCAGAAGTATAGTCTACTTATATTATAATCAAAATATACTTATACTTATGAGTCTTAGACCAGAACAACTGTTTAGTTTGTCTTTAACAGCACCGGTGGCTAAAATATGAACCTCTTCAATATATTTTTATATAAGATGTATATTTCATAAAAAGGGGGGATATCATTTTCTTATTGCTATCAAAACAAATGCCGAAATAGGCAACGGGTACCGGTACCGGCATTCGTCTATGTCTGTATGTACAGAATTGATTCAACTCAATTTTATAAAAAAAAAAATAATGAAAGGAATAGGATGTAGTCTATTACCGTATATTTTTTTCAGCTGACTCATAAATAACCCTAAACTAGCGCTTTCAACAATTGCACAATTTCAAACTCAAGAGCACAGTCACGCGGAAAACGGTTGTAACTTCAGAACTTACAGCTGGAAAACCTCAATGTTAATATGTTCAGATGATGAAGTTTGACTCTTATATGGTTTATTTATGACACTACCGAACCTCTATTCAGCTATTCTGGATTGAAGTGTCCTCAGTCGATCACGATGGTGTAAGAAACTGCCCCGGTCATTCAACTGATGCTCATTTTTTGACTAAGCATTCATACATTATTGTTTTGGCGCTGCATGTCAACCTGACACTTGCGGAATGTGACGTAGCGTCATGGTTTGTGATTTCGGGCTTAGATTCCACGCCCCCTTTTCATCGAAGGTCTTTGATTTTTTGGGTGCGGCTATTTTTGTTGCAATAATTTGAGTCGATGTATTGTGGCTCTGTGTTACTAGAGAATTATATTTTGTGATAGATAGACTATACGAATGTTAACAAATGGCAGCTAACAAAAATAAATCAAATGCTCAAGCTGCGCTTCACAAAGTTATAATGGTTGGAAGTGGAGGAGTTGGCAAATCTGCGCTTACTCTCCAGTTCATGTACGACGAATTTGTTGAAGATTATGAACCAACCAAAGCTGACAGTTATCGAAAAAAGGTAATTTTGGATGGTGAAGATGCTCAAATAGATATTTTAGACACAGCTGGACAAGAAGACTATGCAGCCATCAGAGATAATTATTTTCGAAGTGGAGAAGGTTTTTTGGTTGTATTTTCAATTGCGGAAAAAACCTCTTTTGATGACACCCAGGAATTCAGGGATCAAATATTGCGCGTTAAAGGAGCTGATTCAGTAACAGCGAACAATATTCCATTTATTCTTGTTGGTAATAAGTCTGATTTAGAAGACAAACGTCAAGTCACACAAAGTGAAGCACAACAATTTGCTGATAATATGGGAGTTCAGTATGTCGAAACATCGGCCAAGACAAGAAGCAATGTTGACAAAGTATTTTTTGATTTATTAAAATTGATCAAAGATGAGAAAAACAAAGTCGCGACTGCACAAACTTCAAGCAATAGTCCTGAATCTGAAGACTGTATTGGACGATGCAAAAAATGCTGCACAATTGTTTAATTCCTCATGTCGTCATAATCACATCACGAAACTTAAGACCATCTGAATGGTAGTTGAAAACAATTCTCTATATAATTTTATTTCAAGACTTGCAGTGGCAAAATTACAACTGCACGTACTTACAGATTTATGTACTTGATCAATGTAAAGCTGCACATTAAATGTGTTTTTTGGTCTTTTAATTTTTTCGAAAAATTTTGTCAATATATGTCAGAGACTATATTCATCTTTCTGCCATAACTCGCTAGTATTTAACTGTTTGAGTACACTATGTGCAAACTATTTAAAAATAATGCTACTATTCCATTTTTTTAGCATAAATTGTCTTCAAAAATGTTTGAGCAAAGTTGCAGTCATGACAATTTATTTCATGCCCAAACTTTCATATTCCAAAAAATGAGAGAAAAACCATCTTTGAATAGTCACATGTTAACTTTTTTCGGAGAAGCAGGACCTTTGTTTATGGCACTCATTATAGTTTGAAAAATTTTGGCAGTCCAAGGACTTTACTACGAAATTACATATTGTTTGTTGCTATTAGGTAAATTAATTGCTATCCAGTAATCAATCACATGTCATAGCATATGATTAAAAGCCTGTAGATGAAGAAGTGGAAATGACTGATTTTATCCTTGTAATTTATGATTCCACAATTTTATCTATAACCTCTGCTTTCTATTTAATTGTATTTCAATTCATAATTTGTTAATACTTCATATCATATTAACCTGCAGATTGATCTTGTTCTTCCTGTAGATAATTTTTGACTTAATTGAGGCTATGATATTGTAGAAAAATTGTAGTATATTCTCAAACTTTTTGCTCAACATCTTGAAATGAATAAATATCACTGGTAAAGACACTGGTGTGACAATCAATCAGCAGTGATACTCCTTTAGAGCTTCTGTGAAAAAATGCTGTCCGTGTGAAGCATACCTTAGAATTCCAAAGTTGATTATATTATCTATATCTTTAAATTATTTTCCCATACAAACAAATTATTCTGTGTCTAATTGATTCCTTTGGGACCGATTTGAACATTTAGTATGATACTGCTTAATATCTCGGTATCCAGGATATTTGCTATGTTCTAACTTAACTGAGCAGCTTATCCTATTTCACGAGCTCACGACACAACCCCTTTTTGGAAATAATGTCATTCTAATGTAAATCATGTACAGCCATATTCACCAGTGCTTCAGATTTATGTAATAGCCTGACATTTAAATATTTCGAACACTTTTCAAAATATTTGTCCAAGTACATGATTTATGTGTTATTGTTTTTATCTGAAGTTGGGAGGTGCATTTTATGCAATAGCTTGGGCTTGATATTTTTGATTTCGCTGTTTAGTGTACAATAAATATTATTCCTATTATTAATATTACCTTGTGGTTTATTGTCTGTGTATAAATATGATTTCTTCGTTCAACTTGGTGAATCTTACATTTCTTTCGACCTGTAAGAATATGTCGAGTTTCTATATTTTATTAAATTTTCTGCTAATTGTTGTTTTATTGTGTTTTCGCATACTCTTTAGATTATTGATACATGACATTTTTTGAAAATCATTGACAATGTCAAAGTTGAAAAAAATTGTTGAAGAAGCGAAAGAGTCAAAATGTCGAGAAGTTGATCTCAGTGATAAAGGGATTCAAAATGTGAATGAAGTTCCCGGGCTAAGTATGTAAAATCTGTCCAGATTTGAAAATAGCGTTGAATGTTTTAGAAACATTACTTTTAGGGGTGGTTTTTATCTCCACAGTAGTATATATATCTGATATGACGGTATTTTTTCCATGTTACATGACCCGTGGTGGAAGATCCTTTGTTATGTTATATTTGAATGCTTGTCATGGAAATGTTGCGACTTGAATGCCATGATTGGTTGAATTATTCAAATTTGAAATTTTTTTGCCTTGTTTATGCAATTTTAATATATTATATTGCAATATCAAATTCAATGAATTTTTATATTACATGATTTATGCGAAGTTTTATCTCAAACATGACCCAATCTATACTGCATTCAATATTCTAAAATACTGTTTTAGATCAATTTGTAATAGTTTCTCTGCTAGTATGCCTTTTGGATTGTTTTTCTCTATTTATGTTATTTATTTTGCTTCTGTTTACAATGTTTTATTTTGTGCTATATTTATGAATGTCCTTAAGTGTGCGATGTAGAGATGTCTGAATAAGTTTGATCAATTCGAAACCAATATAAAGAAGGACTTTTATGCCAACTCCCACTTCCAACTGCAAAGTTGATGATGTTTGCCAGATTTTATAGATGTAAAATTTGACATTTCTCATGACATTTCTTTTGTGTTAAATTAACATGAGAAACTCTTGTGGTGTTTATGAGATAGAAATATTTATCTAATTGGGTCTTTTTGTACAATTCTTTGTTGAATCAAATTCAAATATTAACATTTTTATCTCAATTATTATTGTATTTAACTTTTGTTTTTCAGTGATGCTGGACCATTTGACACAGTTAACGATGAGTCACAACAAATTAACTGCAGTTCCACCAAGTATCGGAGAACTTGCAAATTTGTCTATTTTAAATCTATTCAACAATTTGATTGAGGAATTACCCACATCACTCAGTGGAATGCAGCAATTAAAGCATTTGAATTTAGGGTGTGTTACCATGACTTGTATTTGATATCCTTTGTCTATTTTATATCTTTTGTCAACTCTCAACAAAACCAATATTGAGTGATCATATTAGTGAAATCATGACCTAGTGATATTTATGAAGATAATTATAACTTATGTTTCTAAAATGTAAAATCACTTCATTTCCATCTCTTAGGTGTTCTATATCTTTTTTGACATCTTTAAAAAGTCTTTTAAATTTAAATTTTAAAGCAAGTATCCTCATTTTTTACCTGAAAATTTTGTCAAAACCAAACAAAATGATGAGGTTTTTCTATAGACAGTTTAGAAAGTTGCATCTTTAAATCATACTGATGATATTATAGTTTTTATTTGCAAATTTGAGCATTATACACAGAATGCCATGTAAGATATTTTTGCCACCTTTGTTTTGCTATTTTGTCTAAATAAGTTACGTTATTGAACAGATACTGTCAGAAGAGCCTATATAAGTTCACGCTTCCTATATATAAAGCCATATGACTCATAATATGAGTACTAAATCACAGATTATTGGACACGAAGTGGGCCTATAGATTATTTTGATATTATGTTGTTAGAATTCTTTTAGTTGTCGTTATGGAAAAATCGTCTTTTATTAATTACCAGACCAATTAATTGCCTTGGCATTTTCAGTGGTTAAAGATTTATGTTGTCGCTAGAAGGCTATTACTTGTATTTTTGTGGGCTCTTTGGGATTCGTTTGTAGTGTGTGATGACTTCATTGTTTTGTTGCTTGATCGCTATCTGCCCAGAATAGAAACTCGCATACAACTGAACTTCGTTTATTGAGAACAGTGGCACAACTCAACAATACAACTTAAAACAGTGATCATAAACAAGCGTTAACACGACTGCATAACGACTGGTGAGCCAGACAGATAGATAAGATGTGGTGGGCTGCGACAATTAAGAGTTGTCGCGCTACTCATCATTTGAGTAATCACATTACGTCACTGTCATCAAAATGAAAATGGTGCACCTTGTGGCGGTTTCGCACTTGCGCTATTCGCGATGTGGTGGTCAGTCGAAATCACGGTTCAATCAATTCTTTGTGTCCATTTATATTTGAGCATTGATCTCTTGTTCTACATTAGGTGATGCTGATTGTTATTGTCTGCAAAATTTACTAACTAATGTCTTCTTTCTGTTCGATGCTCATTCATTGATACTGGCCAAACAAAGCTTTGAGAGCTGGTGTTATAGCACCACAATATTTTTTTCTTATTATTTTAACTCTTCTTGTATTGAAATAATTTAACAAATTATTTTTGTGCTTTTTATACTTTCACATTGTGTTTGCTTAGAAAACTGAATGTTAGAAAGCAATTCCTTAATTCATTTATTTTATTCATTGGTACAGAATGAACAGGTTATACCATCTACCAAGAGGATTTGGTTCCTTTCCGAAGCTTGAAATTCTGGATCTATCATACAACAATCTTACAGAACAATCGCTTCCAGCAAACTTCTTTTTTATGAGTAAGTACTTTAAAGTTGAATGATTATGCATATACAGTGATACCTCAGTAGTCGATCGAGTCGATACTCGGACAATTCGTTAGTCGACCTAAAAATTCTAGTCAAAAATGATGTGGTACTCAAATTTCTGAAAACCTGAGCGCGGCACCGAGTGAGATGACGTCATCTGAACCGCACATCTCTGCTGCTTTTCAACCATTCAACAAGAGATATATGGACACGAATGCTGAAACGAGTTAATATGGGTATGCAATCTGTCACAGTAGACTATCGACACAACAATCTTCATGACTCAATGAAATCGGCGCAATTTTTGATGACACGATCGCACGCAAAAAAACGAATTCCATATAACCCACAGAAATGTGTTTAAACGTACAGTAACTGATATAACACTTTTTACATTTTTATTACGTTTAATATTTTAATGTGTAGGCCTACACATTTAAATAATTATTGTTGTTTAGGTACAAGTTTCGTCATTTTTTGGAATGCGAAAGAACGAATTAAAATAATTACCGTACCATTGTTTATTATGGCCGAAAAGTTTTGGTACTCGAACAAATCACTAGTCGAGCCAATCCTGAACGACTTATGTTCGACTATCGAGATATCACTGTAATATATATCTAACACTTTAGAGGTGTCAACATTTTCATAGTAGGAATATTGAATAGAAGTATGTTTGGTTCAGATTCATTTTATTGGGCAGTTCTTTATATCTATCAAATAAACTACCATAGTTATCACCAATGTGTTATATATAAAAGCCGATAGCAACTTGTGATTAATGTTACATATTTTTGATTTTAAAAGGCTGATACATTCTAATAAATATGGTGATACAAAATATGAGTCATTCATATAATGAAAACCACAGCCTCTCGATGACAAAGTCCAGGTCATGTATTGGGATAGCTAAGCAGATATGTTTCCAGGTGCTTGGGATTGAGTGATTTCAGATGCTGTAGTCAACCAGCAGTTTTTTGAATCGCCTTGCACACAGGCATCCCCATGGGATTCAAACCTCTGTACTCGCTGGGTAATCAGTGATGGAATGGCAAGCTTGTTCTTAATTCTTGACTGAACTACCAGTTTGTATGTTCATACAAATTTGTTATCTCCATTTTTTTATTTCAGCGTCATTACGTGGTTTATACCTTGCTGACAATGAGTTTGAAACATTTCCATCAGAAGTTACTAAGCTCAAAAATCTGCAAATAGTGAGTTAATTTTTTTTTTGTCTTTTCCCTTATAGTCTTCTTTCGTCTGGATACTACGGTAAGTTATTGTTTCATTTATGTCAATGCTCATGGCTTGGTATTTTGGTAAATTCACATTATTTAATAATAATGGGATTTTCATTGTTTTTGGATTTGATTTGGAATCAGATTAGTATTAATAATTTCTGGTATAATTGTTATATATTCATCATATTTTTTACAGCTCAGTCTGAGAGACAATGATTTAGTTTCACTGCCAAAAGAGATAGGTGATTTATCAAAACTAAGAGAACTTCATGTTCAGGGCAATCGTTTGACTGTTCTACCACCTGAAATAGGTAAGAATAAATGATTGTTAGTTTCTTAGTGCTAAATCATGTAAAAATTTGCAATATGTGAATTTGAGGCTGAAGATTTAAAACATCAGAGCATGCGATGCCCACCAGTTACCCAGTAAGAAATCACACAGGCCCATCGTTGACCAACGATTGATCATCCTACATGACATCATCTGTTCATGTTGTGGGCCTAATAAGTAATTAAGTCACCAAATTCATAAAAAGATAAAGTGATTTATTTTTACATCCAAATATGCTCCCTTCTTGCTAATACTTAAAATTTAGGTCTTTCAACATGTATTTTGTTCCAGGTCGACTTGATCTAACTGGATCAAAAGGTGTATTCAAGGTGGATCGTAACCCTTGGGTTCAACCTATCAAAGATCAATTTCAACTTGGAATCAATCATGTTTTCGATTATATCAAATCTGAAACTTATGAATAGTGAGTGTCATAACATCTTTTCTATTTATTGAAAGATTATAGAACACAAGTCTCTAATGTAGATCCAGTGAAATATTGATGAAGAATGAAAATGCTTAACCTAGCCTTGATAGAATACACATGTGAACACATACACACCTTATTAGGTTAAAAGGGCAGCCGTGATTAGTGAGTTAAGGGAGAAAAAAAAACAATGACACACAGTGTAGACATTCCGAGGAGGAAGAATTCTAATATATACATGATGTTGCAGTACATCCTTATATTTGAATAAGGTTATTCGAATAAATCACTCATATTTACGATTATATCAAATCTGATACTTATGAATAGTGAGTGTCATAGCATGTTTTCTTTTTATAGAAAAAATTCTTTAATGCAGATCCAGTAGAATATTGGTGAGTAATGAAAATGCTTAGAAATGTTTGACCTAGCCTTGATAGCATACACAGGTAAATAGCGATAATATTAGGTTGAAAGGGCTGCCGTGCTTAGTGAGACAAAAGAAAAAGCGATATGCGGTGTAGACATCTTGATCAGGAAGAATTTCAATATATACAGGGTGTCGCAGTACATATGGTGCCTTATATTCAACTTACCGTAGGTGATTCGAGTAAAGTAATGTTCCGTAACCAGTATGATAGCCTAACATATAAAAGACTAATTCATTTGTGGAAAAGTTTTCACTCGTCGAAGAGTAGACAGTTGCCTCTGATTGTGCATGGATGAAGGATTCAGCAAAGTAAGATATTACATTTATTAGTTTTATGATGGAGGCTGGAGGAAGAGTAATATATGTCCTTGCCAGGTATTGTATGGAAAAAGTGAGAAGTACCTAGTTGGTGTTTTTTGAGACGAGCTCCATTAAGAGTTGTTGTCGAACTAAAATTGAGGTTAAATTTAGAAAACAAAATTATTGATGTTGATGGATCGTGGCGGCTGAGCAAATTTTGTTCCTTTTATAAAAATCAAATATTCTTAATTCAATGATAGGGTTATTCTTTTATGTTTTCTTTTCAATAAATTATTTTTTCTACAGTTTATATGGTCGACATATGTCAGCTAATCCTGCTCCTCCGCCGAAGAAAGCTGATAAATCGAAAAAGACTAGCAGGAAACCTCTCCAGCACAAGAATAAGTGAATGTATCCTTGTCTAAGATCAAAACTAACTTGCTGCAAACATCATATGCTCAACACTTCTGCTGAATACTTATATTTGCTTGTATACGGAAAGCTGGCTGAAAGAACTACATCAGAGAGAATTGAGCTACTGTACATCATCATTATGTAACAACAAATTACTCTTGACAAAGAATCAGGGGTTGGGTGTTATGAACATGATGCTGATGGCTAATATGTTACATGTGTCAGGACTGGATTTTACTTTGATTCAAAGAAAGAAAAGCTAACAATTTGGTTTGGTTATTTAGCAGACTATGCTCATGCATTCACTTTATCATCAATCTCTATATTCACTTTATCATCGATGTCTAGGGTCAAAGTAAATTTTCATCCATTTGAAACGTCCATACAGATTAATGTCTATTTCACATTGAATACTGACTGCTATATTAGAGTAAAAAATTGGTCACAAGTCTTTTAATTTTTCATGTTGTTTACTTGGAAGCAAGTCCTCCGTTAGAATTTATCTTCAACTGCCATTTTTCAGTGCTGGAATTACTGACTGATGAGAAAACAGTTTTCTGTTAAAGACTTTATCTGCATTCAGTGTTTGAGGTTTAACAAGTTTTGAAATACTCTCAGCCGATTTTTTGTCTTGAGGAATTTTCTTCAAATATCGATCAGTAACCTTGAGCACTTCTGCTGCTCCCTGTAATCATAATTCAAAAATATGTAAATAGCTATTTTTGATTCAACATTTTTATACATAGTATTATTTTATATCGCTAAGTGCATTTAAAAATTATAATATCATGTACATGGAAAACTACTCGTTTTGTGATGGATTGGTGTAAAGGACGAACGAATAAAATTGTCCAGCTTCTTGGCGGTAATATGAAAAAAAAACTACCTCGCCTTATCTAATCCATGTTCCGAATGTCCGTTGCCTCAAATGTATGTGTTTCAAGAGCGCATGTTTCCACATCATTGAACATCCTAACATTAACCTGGTTGAAGGCTGAGGCTCGAGCAAGGCTTCATCCCTCCGCAATGTGCGGAGATAATGAGCATCGTTGCCGAAAACCACCGACTCGGCCTGTTCAATCTTATGATTTTATGCTCAGGTTGATGACAATATTATCTCATTGACTACTATAAATTGCCAAGCCAATCTGCGTAAGTCATCAACTGTCAGCCCATAAAACATTATAGACGTTCCAAATCCTTTTCTTCTTCCTCGGTGAACAATGTGAAAATCTTGATCATTTTTACAATGTTCTACTGATGATGTAACTGCCAAATATCTGTCTAGGGTTGCTCTGCCTATTCCGTACAAACGGCTCGCTTTTCCTTTTGATATGTCCCAATCGTTTTGTTGATTCCAAAATTTAATAATGCCGAAATTATATTGCAAATATACATAAGAATGGTGGGAAATAAAGACATTTCATCATACTTGGCGAAAGAAAACAAAATGCTTCGGACAACAACCGCGACTGGTTGTTCTACCCCAATCCCCCCCCCCCCCCCCCAAAAAAAAAGCTCATCCTACAATGAATTATTTAAGTTCTTCATAACCGAGATGCCTTCTAAGGTGCTAAACTGCAAATGACGTGCTACTTGGTAGAATCAATGGGACTTACTTAATAATCGTACCGTGTCACAGGTGATGGTAAGTAACATCATAAAGCTGTTGAACCGGCACCTCAAGGTGCCCATACCTTTCCACTTCCCCCACCGATGATCAAGGAGTTACCCCCGTAGAGCGAAGTGGTTGGCGTGGAATGAGGTATTGCAAAGCTGTTTCCTCCTTACTACATAATTCTAGATCGTAAAATGCCGCCCAATTCGTTATATACTTTGTGGTCGATGAGGGTAGAGCATGACAGAACAACTGACTAGACTTTCTGATGCTTTTTCAGCTTTGCTTTATTCCTGTTTTCTCAATGAGAAATGCTCCCGATTTTATACAGACGAGGCGGTCATACCTCATTCCGTCAGATGAGGCGGTCATATTTTCCCTCATTCCGTGTATGTTGCATTTCACTTTTATTTCGATCTTTTCTCTATAACGAAGCACAAGCGCTAAACAGTAACGACGATAAGATCAAGAAAATAGGCGTAGCATAACCTATAGGTAGATAACCAGCAGATTAGTTATATGTATGTTATGCGGCTTATGCCCATACAAATAAAATTCGTTAATATCATACATGAACACCAGGATATAAATTAAATCATTTAGTTCCCCCAAGACTCATTTTAGCTCTTCTGTCATATAGCCCACGTCCAACTCTAATCTCCCACGTCTCTTAATTTTGATGCTGCTGTATGACTTTATCGCTTTCAGCTTCAGGCAAGCTATCGGTGCATGTTCAATTTAAGTACGTTACAGGTCATCGCGTTCATACAACATTACCTCACATTGTAAATTCGTGATGTCGTGGGAATCAAGGCCAAATGCGAATCAATTACCAGCGTGAGCAACCTATTGCAAATATTATTACATTAATGTATTGTCGACGTAAAGCAATCAATCGAAATTGTTTAATATGGATGCTTTGTCATACCTACGGCGGGTGGCGAATCGTACTAACTACTAAGTAGGGTGTATGGCCGTTAACTCGACGAGAGACCGTGGTATGCCATATGGTTAAATCGTCTAATCGGCTTTCCTCTTCCCCAGGTTAAAAATAATATCCTATTCGGTCGGTAAGATCTTGTGGGGCGTGGGTTAGTCAGATTCAGCCGAAACATTCAATATGTATATCGCGTGCGTTCATACAAAGGTATATATAGAGCAGTGCTCGTCAAACAGGCGTGCCTTCAAGGATGTACTACGTCGATAGGGTGTACCGAATATTGTAGGCTATACGTTAGTTTTAAATGTATTTATAGAGAATATGCAGTTTGTCACAAATACCGCAACGTATTTGTCCAAACTTATGTACAATGTATATCCAGCTATTTTCGAGTTTTTGTTACCTGCTCGCCATAACGCCAGTACATCGATTCCTAATTAGGCTTCCCGCTGCTTGTCAGCAGGGAACCTATTGTATTCCTGTGTTTTATTATTATTATTATTTATTTATTATTATTATTTTTTCAAATTGATCCTACAAACTTGAAATTCACCTCAAATGTGCAGAAGTTCTCAGCTAGCAATAAAATGCAAATTTTTTTTTACGCGGGAAGCCTGTTAAAGCTGCACGCAGCTCTAGTTATTAATCGAATTCGTGTTGGTACTGTCGTCCTTTTTGTCAATAAAATAAAAATATGCATATGCTGATCAAATAACCCAGCGGCAGAGTAACGAGTGTTAAACACACATTGAAAAATGAACAAACAGGTAAACTAAAACAATGTAGTCATATGTACCTAATTAACCACTGTCAATAAAAAGTAACAGATAAGCGATGGCTTGTACACTGGTTCTAATTAGGACTGGTAATGATTAATATCTTCGTGTAGAATATTCCCTTAATCGAGGACAGTCTGACAACAAACAAAAAGTTTGCTCAGTCGTTTTCGCAATACGCACGAGTAAGAATCTAGAGGAGCAATGTCAGAAAGTAGGAATTGTGATTTATGTACAGGCTTAATTCTAGTCAAAGTTTTGATTGCAGGTAGAACTTATGCGCAGAGAAATCCACTATAATTATTTCGATGAAAAAGACATTTTATTTCATATTTCGCTGTAGACCAGAGGGTTATGTTCATTTCGTGTATTATGTATGTCGTATAAAAAATTTTGAGGAAATAAAATTCCTTCTCAATTTTCATGGCGCTCCAAATGCGCTCTGATACAAAACGAAAAAGCAAGAAAATGCTTGGCCGGCTTTAAAACCTTTTATCTAAAACGACACTATATGTCGTTTATACAACGATTTTTTTTGTTATCCAGCGACAAAAGGTCATACAGGCAGGAATCATAGCATGTATAAAAACGCGAAGTTTAAGGCATTGTGGAATAGTGTGAGAAATCGGACCGAAAGCAGACCAGAAAGGCATTATTTATGGGCCGTTTCGCCGTTCAAATATTTATTATATTTTCTGATACATTTACATTGCCTCTCGAACTGAAGTTTTGCAATCAAGTGTTAGGCAAATTCCAAATGTTATTACGATATTCTGATTTGTATTACAACTTACAAGCAATAGCTGGAGACAGAGGACGTTTCTCATTCTCCGGGTCGCATAATGAATTCGCTCTTGAAAACAACATTGTATTCTCGACGTGGAACCCAAAATCATTTATTCGTCAACGCAATATAAACATATCGTAAGAAAATACATTGCAATTGCAAGTAACAAAGGGACTAACTTAAATTGCGTGATAGGAGTCCCGAGGTACCCCGAAAGGTTATCAATCGCGACACCAACAGAGCTAGATTTGAGTACCAAGTCTGCTAGAAAGCGGGAAGAGGATGTTGATATATGAATGTGTAAGATTGAAACGATCGAAATAAATAACATCGACTTCTTGGAATGTCAGATTAAATCTAAAACTTGAAATTAACCGTTAGTTTTATAAACATTCTAACAGTTCTAGTCTTATTTTTCAGTTTTAATCTAATCTGTAGTATCCTGACTATATCTCTAATACTTTGACAATGAGATATCTGCTCCCTTCATCAGTAGTTTGTTTTATATTTCTATTTAATTCAGGTAAGAAAACATGTGTTAGGATAATAGTATGGCCATGCATTAAGTGTTTTCCACTGTGAAATCACTAAAATTCTATTGGTAGCGGTAGTGTCACTTACTGTATTTCTAACTGTATTTGCTGCGATATCATGAAATTTCAAGGTACTTGCAGAATGAATCATCCAATTCACAGTTTGATATTTGAACGAATGGTTCATTTATTGATGATTAAAATTGTAACGGATGTACCACCCAGCGTATACCCCTTTATATAGCTAGTACTGTCCTCTGATCAAGTTTTCTAAAAGTGATCCCTACGTTATTTGCTATTTCACACCAATCGCAACCATGGGTGTTACGAAACCTTGATAAACAATTTCATGGGCTTATCACCAGTTTTCAACATTTATTCGAGTCTTTGCCATACAAGTCACTCCTATAACTATATGTTTTTTGCAATTAAAATGTGAAATAGATAAATATTGCATAATGGTATTCGATTGTTTGAGTTGTGTTATCCCGGATTTCAAATATATATATTAAGATTGTTCATTGTCCGTACTCTAAGTATCAGTATCAGGTATCGTTTTCTACTACTGGGATTAAATGAAATGTGCAAATGAAAATGCCACCATCTAACTCTTTCAAACCATCTAACTCTTGCCGATTTTAGCTGTTGACAGGACTTACACCAGGGTACTCCCATAGTGTGTATACTAGGTTAAAGTAAGGCCATAATTTTATTCCGATTTTCCTTACTTTAGTTCTGACTGTCTGTGTTAGTCAAGTGAATATACCCCTGCCCATAGGTATCAGTCCATTCACACAACTTGATGTGAAGTATATAATAATTAATACTCAAAGAAAAAAATATTCATTTTAGTATTATCAGACGTATTATTCGATTGTGATTTTGAAACTGACAACTGTGGATTCGTGGATGATATCGCTGTTGAAGTTCAGTGGAAACGATATCAAGGACCAACTCCTTCGCGCGAAACAGGCCCAGATACGGATTATACAAATGGAACCAAACTTGGTATAAATTAAACTCTAATTCTTCCAGTTTGGCCTGATAATTTGTATCGTTACTATAAATCATGCTGTTGTTAAAATGGCAACTAACTTTGTTTGAAAAATAAATCCTTTTATTCACATTCGTATTAGATATGCGGGTGAGTGGGCTGAATTTATTAAAAGTAATAACCATCCTATTGAAGCTATGTGCAATTCAAACATGTATGGTACACAGGCTTGCAACATAGTGATTTTGTTTAAATAATTTATGCAAGACTGATTACTCATTTAAAAATCGTTGGCTATGTAATTCAAATACTGCTGCTGTGGTGTCTCCCATATTATATGCATGTATCTGTTTACATAGCTTGTATGCATATAATATGCCTATTGCATATTGCTGTTTGATCTGTTGTTTTCCAAGGTCATTTCTCACTATGAAAACAGATGAGAAAAATCTAGCAATCGTATTGCTTGTGTTAGCAAATAGATTTCAAAAACGTTTCTCATTTATAATTATTAATGAAGCGGTATTGGTGCGATAATCCTTTTTGTCAGCTACTTCATCGTCGGGTGAAGTAAAAATTTACCACAGAAACTCGAAAAAAAATAAATAAGTTGACTACGCGCTCCAAACAGTCTATTGAGCATTAAAAAACGCTTGCATCATACGCCAACGTATTTTTGTTTTTCAATCCAGAGTTGATTAGTTGATTGTAAATCGACTCCACATACTTGGCTAATACAAACATATGACTGAAGTTTTATATCTTTAATTAGTTCTAACAAATGCAGCAATTTAAATTATAGATGTACCGTATTATACGGACTACAAGGCGCACAGGGTTATGAGGCGCACCGTCAATATATTGCATAGACTGGGGTTTTGTCCACACATAAGGCGCACTGGACCATGAAACGCAAATGATACTACTACTGGTTTTGAGTGTGGGCCATTAAGCATAAAGCACTGTTATTTTTCTCCGTTTTGTAACAGGTTACTACTCATATGCAGAAGCGAGTAATACGGGCATTGGTGAAAAAGCAAGAATAACTTCACCCTTGTTGAAAAATTCTGGAGGGAAATGTACAAGGCTTGCATTTTATTATTATACCTATGGAGAGGATCCTGGTTATCTTTATCTATATCTACTGGGCGATAAACCGTACTATTTCGAAAATCCCGTCTGGGAAGACGATCGTTCTTCTAAGAGGGAATGGAGATCTGTTCAGTTGGACCTCAGCATCTCAGTTAATTATTCGGTCAGTAACCACGAAACGGACTCTCAAACTTTTTCTGTCAATGGAAACATCGTCTGTATTTTGAAATTGAATTTCAAGTACAAAACATTCCACAAATTAAAGAAATTTACTCTGGTTTTCTAGATCGCATTCGAAACTGTATTTGGTGGAGGCGGTTTGGTCGATAAGAAAGGAGATGTTGCAATTGATGGCATATCTGTTGACTCTATTGATTGTGGTGAGTATATCTATTTGAAATTGATGTAATTTACTTTCCGAACGATAGAAGATGTTTAATCAAATCTAATAATTTCAATTAATTCAGAAACCAAACAATAAGATTTCCATCTATCGAGCACGGCTTTCCATAGAGTACGGTACCTTATATGAATAAAATTACCAATTGGATAATCTGTCAATGCACGCATTATATTGATCCCTAGAAGTATAGGAAAAATATTTATGCTTTTCCAATCATAGGACTAAATAAAAAATTGCATATTTACAGAAACTCTCTAACTTATGTATTTTAATATATTTATTATCTACGTGTATCTTGCTTTTCAAATTGTATTTTTATATAAACAGAATATGACTCTTGCGAAAACCACGTAACATGCTTAAATGGTGGAACGTGTGTAGCCAAAATGGGTACTTCAAATTTTGAGTACATATGTGAATGCGTGGATGGATGGAGTGGTGATCACTGTGAGAACGACTTTGATGAATGTTCAAGCACACCATGCAACAATGGAGCAACTTGTATTCATGGATTAAATGAGATACATTGCGAATGTGATTTGGGATTTTATGGTGCTACTTGCGAGTTCAGTAAGTGTAAACTTTAGAAATGATTTCTACATTGACCTTACCCATTCGAAGTTATATACGATGTACGGTATAATTTATCACACAATTGCTTCACTCATGTCTTCGGACAAGCATTACAAAACGCACTCAAGTTACATATAGTTGGTTGTTTATTGCTTGACAAAAAGAAGGAAAACCTCATCTCATCGCGCTATAACAACATATTCTACTGTATTTTCGCCAATAATTACAGATATAACCTAGTTATAACAAAGACTGATATTTTTTCGACAGATCGATTGACTGTGAATGGTGCTCAAAGTAGTGAGTGCAACTTTTCAGTTGTGTGTTAGCAATAACCAACAAAACTATATAAGTAATATATCACTAAGTGGAAATCACGTCCAAGCCTAACTATACGTATCATTTATACGATGCTTATAACGAACCGTAAAACATTTTGCAATATTTCACCCACACCTGCTGATCAAGGGTTGAGTATCCGTGATTTTTACTCTGCGAGAATTTTTTTGCGTTATACGTTTTCGCTTTCTTTGTAGTTGATATGTGCATTGACAATCAAGTTAAACGTTGCTTGAACGGAGGAACATGTAATAATGTTGGCGATAATTTCAACTGCACCTGCAGGCCTGGATTTTCAGGGGCAACCTGCGAGATTAACATCGATGATTGTGCTTTGTCTCCATGCCAGAACGGAGGAACATGCAATGACCTTGTTGATTCTTACACTTGTGACTGCCTGTATGGTGGGTTTGATATGTGGATAAACATAAGCGTAATATGGCATACAGTGCGGTGATGGTACTTTTTATTTTAGATTTGCAATAATTTGAAATATGTTGAAAAAGGTGTTTGAAGTACGAGTTTTGATTACGTGCTTACTGCTTATTTTATTTTATTTTGGAAAATTGTATAAATGAATTATTTTTCAGCATACATGAGTATAAATAAATAAATTAATGTGATCTGATCGCCTAGAATCTACCTCGAGAAGAGTAGTAGTAGCTTATAGGTGATCTGGAAATGTATTTACATTTTCAGTCAACAGAAAATACTACACTCTGTTAGTGTATTATCAAATGAAAATTACACACTTGAAAAGTCATGTTTGCGCAAAGTTCAAAAACATTTGCATTAGTAACAGCAATCAGAGTGATTAAAGTTGCTGCGGTAAATAGGCCAACTTGAAACTATATGCTTTATTTGTTTGAAGCTCGAAACAGGTATAAAAGTTAAAACCTAACTAATTAACAAACAAAGATAATTGTGCGAGACGAACTCTGCTAGGGTGGTGACTAATTTCATATTCTAACAAATGTTGATTTATTTAAATAACCCTCAAACACAAGCTTGTCTTCTTATTTCAACTTTGTTCAATATAGAATACAAGGGATTTCATTGCCAAAGTTTGGTTGGAGGTTGCGATTTCGATGACAACAGTTTAAGTATATGTGGATATAAATTTGACTACTATCAGGATTTAGACTGGAAATTGAATCAGGGTCGAACTCCTATCGGATCAACCGGACCACCGGCAGACCATACTACAGGACAAGGTATATATTATGATATGAATTTTATCATTATCCTGTGTAGTTGTTTAGTAAACTAACGCATGTACTAGTTATGTGCATATTGATCGACTATTGTTTTTGTGTTAATAATAATTATACTAACTAATCAAAATTATTCCGAATCTACATTATGTGAACACTCAAATTTTATCACTCAATAGTAATGATATTGAAAAAACTACGGTAAGGAAATATATGAGAATGAATTATTCAACTGCAGTGAATGATTATTTCTGTATGTTTTTTTAATAACGGGTAAGATAGAATCAGGCTTGCAAACTCCCACTAAGAAACAAGTAAATAAATTACAAATAGTTGTATCCACCTCTGACGAGACATTTGGTACTTGCTAATGGATTGCTGGATAGATTGCTATCGGTGATCTGCAAAGTTTTCCAGTGGTTAGACTTCAAGTTAAATTATTTACATTCCAATTTTTGTGCACTGGAGTGTTTTTGATGTGTAGAATTGACTATGCAATATTAGTGAATTTACCTTGCCCATTTTCAGGATATTACGTTTATGCTGAAATCGAATTCCAAGCGAATAAAATTGCAAGGTTGCTTTCCCCAGAGTTGCCACAATCCTCTGTAGCTGCATGTACTAATGTAACATTTTGGTAAGTTGTTTAGTTCAAACTCTGCAAATGAAATATGTTGCGTGTTCAAACGCGTCGGGTTCACAATATATATCTATATAAGTTTTTATCGGTGTTTTCGATGTTGAAACAAAGCACAATGAGTTGTAGAGACCAAAAATTGGTAAACCAACCTTACAGTCATAGCGAGGATGACTGAAGCGCGATAACTTTACCAATTTTCAGATCATATACCAGACACTTCGATAATACAATACAAGCGAATTGTTGATATAAGTATCATTTTTATTACCACAAAACAAAAGGCATTCATAATATATTTGAATGAAAATCAAACCGAGAGTAAAAGTGCGATAAAATACACTGAATAATCATTGTGGTATGACACGAAACTACTATATAACTAACTGAAATATACTACTAAATTTGCCCTGTGAAAGTCGAGATTTAACAGTTTTGATTTTCATACAGCCCAAATCAACTCCATCTATTAGTTCAAAGTTATAATTTTGAGAAAATTTAGATACCTGCAAATAAATTTTGTGAAATTATTGAGAAAATATCGGAAATCTCCCATTTACATCCATGAATATTTCCAGGTATTACATGGACGGCACTGATATTGGAACTCTCAACATATATATTAGCACTGGTTATAATTCTATACAGACTATGCCTTCCTGGACGTTGTCGGGAGGTCAGGGTAACGAATGGCGTCAAGGCTATTTTGAAGTCAGTTCTCCAGTACCCTACTCGGTGCGAAATATTTTATCTTTTCTGTTGTCATTAGCTAATGTTTCATCATGTTCAAGATCAGTATCGATGTTGTTGCAAAGTTAAGAATAATCAGAAATTACTTCTATAAATCACTGATCTGTGGACTATAATGAGTATGACTCTCCGAAAAGGGGCATTTATATCAGTAGCTTGGTAGTTGCAAGATACGCACCTCTTCTAGCTTAATAATTGATGAGAATAGAAAGCTTTTGTCGTAAATTAGTTTGATCGAAAAACTATTATCAACCCTAATACGATATGATTAAACATTCATAAAATGAAAATAAACTGCGGAGCATGATGATGTACCTTACATATTTGAATGTCTTCCTACTTCTTTCGCTACGCAGCTTGTTTTTGACGCTGTGACGACTTTGGCTACACTTCCAGACTATATTGCTATTGATGATGTTTCAGTTCACCCAGGAGCTTGTGGTAAGTATGCATAAAGAGTAAATAAGAGTGGATTTTAACGATATGCATGGGATGAAATTTAAAGTGCATGCTATTAAAGACAAGTGTTTCTCTAATAATCTTAGAAACGGATTTTTTTTGTAAAAGCGGAACAACTATTCAAAGCGGAACAACCGAATGGCTTAAAGTTAAAAACCACTAATCTAGATTGTTAAACTATTGGAATTTATGCCTATTACGACAAATATGTTAGTTGCGACAACAGCTTTAAACGCCATCTCAGCAATTGAACCTTTGAACAAAATATTTTCGTTTTCATTATACACAGTTTATCGACAGTGTTCCATACAACCTTGTAAAAATGGAGGGACGTGTATTGAGGACGGCGTTAGTTCATATATATGTGAGTGTCCCAGACCGTGGACCGGTGTGAATTGTACAGAAGGTAAATTACAATCAAACATTTTAGGCTATAAGTCTTTTATGCTAAATGTGTGTACTCAGAATGATTTCAAATCGATTTTCATTTCGTACATACTATATTGGTGCATTTCAATCTTGAAAATATTTCAGTCCGCTTTGGCAATATTGATATTAAGTACATCATAACGAGTTTGCTATGTTTTATTATTAAAAAAAATGATATTATCCAAAACGTTACTGGTATGTTCAAACATTTGGGCACGAAGACGATACAATACTAGTGACACCACCATCGTTGTACTCCGTTCGTCTAGCACTTGCTCGCCAAACAATCGACTGCACATTGATTTTGTGGCGTTTCCAAATTTGAGATGAACAACTCAAGCTAGGAAGAACTTCGAAAATTTGAAGATAAATAATAACATTTTGGCATGCGCTTTAAGAGCAGTCGTTGAAAAGGAAAGCAATTTTTCTTTTCTTACAACACCAACAATTTGAAATACCTAACAAGCAACTACGATGCAAAGACGATAAAGCTGACTCGTTTTGAATGGCTTAGCTTTAGAGTAACCAAAGTTTACTTGCCTGAATCATGAAACCACCAGTTTAACTTCTGCATATGCGCGGACACTCGTTTTTAGTCAGACCTATTTTTGACTAATATTATAAATCATTATTTATAGACCGAAATGAATGCAACGAAACTCCATCTCCCTGCATCAATAGTGTTGCATGTACTGATCATAACCCTGGATACGAATGTACTTGTTCGCCAGAATATGTGGGATACAATTGTGAATATATTCGAGGAAGTTGTAACTTTGAAGACCCCTTTTCGCGGAAATGCTCGTACACTGATGACGACACCGGTAAGCAGGACAGAGTGTGACATGATATCATTGCTAAAATCTTCTGTAAAATAATTTCTTATGTTAAATTAGGTATTAATATTTTAAATATTGCTCCTAGTAATATTAATAGTAATATATGTGGTTTTAACCAAGATATGAAAGTTGATAGGCCAACTTGTTTGGAAAGTTTCGAAACAATGCCAGATTGACCAAGTAAATTTTTACATAATACCGTAATTTTTTTTGCTAAATTTATACCATAGCCACGATTCCGAGTTCTCAAGCTTCAAGTTTTGAAATAACCCAAGGAGCGATAAACGAACGAATAAAGATGGAGAACTGTTGGGATTCTAGTCCATTTGATTAAGATCTCATTGTTATATGGCAGGGGATTTTGTCTGGAAGTCTTGGCAAGGTCCAACACCGACTGATTTAACGGGTCCTTCAGTCGACCACACTCTGGGAACAGAAGAAGGATATTATCTGTACACTGAAACATCACCACAAGAAGGTGGCGATAAAGCTCGAATCGTGTCACCTGTCGTTCCAAACAGTGGGTCACAATGCACAGGACTAGATTTTTGGTTTGTACAATTTACTATATTTTTATTTATTTGGAGTAACTTTGAGTAACTTTTATTTAATAGTGGAGATTGGAGAATATTCTCGAATCTGTTATTAATTATATTCGTATATGTGGTAAAAACTATTGTAAACTACATGTTTGTTGAAGGGTTGACTTTACTCAGACAAAACGCTATTGGGTATATTCTGTAAAAAAAACTTTGAACCACCAATTATTAATTCTTGCTTGGGTCTCCACATTCATTGAATACGGTTAAATTTACACGAACGAATAGTGAATACTCAAGATTATAGCCACCCAACTAAAAGTTTTCTCAATCTTTCACATGCTATGTACGACTTAGTATGTAGTGTAGTCCAGTACGGTGTCACAAAATTTTGGAAATAGCTCAGTTAGTACAAAGAAGTGAAGCTGCTGCATCACATATCGATGCCATTTTGATTTTCTAACTCTTGTTTACGCTCTATGAACTAAAGGTATCACATGTTTGGGAACGATGTCGGCGAACTTGCGATGTATGTCGAATACGGCAATGAACCACTCACCATTCCAATATGGAATATTATTGGCAATCGGACAAATTCTGTGAGGGAGTGGGTACGAGTAGAACTCAATATAAGGTTCGTAACTTATACATTGTATGGCGTTTTTGTAATCTACCAAGAGCCAGAGGCAACAAAAAAAACAATTGTGAATGTTCATTAATTGGGATTCAACGGCTATTCTAAATATATTTGTATATCATAATTTCGAGAAAAATGACAAACATGCAATTTTGCCCCATAGTGTGGTTCCATGTTTTTTACCAAGATGGCCGTAAGGGAAAATATCTATCGCTTTGTCATCGTTTTTTTTATCGAAGAAATGAACCAAACGAAACTTAAACCAAATAAACCATACTGTGGTTTAAACAAAATCGAATCTAAAGGAGGATTCTTATTGGTATTGGTAACATTTTCAATAAACTAACCTTTGCAGCGCACCAAGCGACTTCAGATTGGTATTCGAAGTTACTGTATTACCGCAAGGCAACCTCGAACCTGAAAACAGAGGAGATATCGCTATTGATGATATTGAAGTTCATTTCGACAGAAATTGCAGTGAGTTTTAAAGTGTTGTTAGTTTTACTCATTAAACATTCTCTTACTTCACCGATATTGGTTGACCAATGTATACATTGATTGTATATATATATAATAAATATGAACTGCTATATTTGATGTTCTACTTAGACTACGACAAGTGTTTTGAAAAGCCGTGTATGAACGGTGCAATTTGTACTGCTATTGGCGGAGACGACTATCACTGTGAATGTACTCCGGGATACGATGGCAAAAACTGTGACAATACCCCAGTTTGTGTACCGAATCCATGTTATAATGGAGGAACATGTGTCTTAGGCAGCAATGGAAACCAGGAATGCTTGTGCAAACACGGATGGATTGGAACATACTGCGATACAAGTAGATGTTTTTAACTGTAATAACTATATCAGTAGAAACTAGGTTTGGCGTTTTTTCTTGTGTTCGATTTGAAACTGAATCGTATTTCCAAAATTGCACATGGCAAGAATCAAAACTGCAAACTTTTCGGAATCAGACTTTCAAAAACGAAATTTTTAGCTTTGCATCAAATAATACCATTTCACACTGGTGTTTTGTGGTGAAATAAGCTAGCATGGCTGAACGGCAGTAGTTTTAAATATAATTTCATCTGAATAGTACCTATTTATCATTTCCTCATCCGTTTCTCAATTTTGAGATGCTCTTTTTTCTATTTCAATTTCGTATTTGTCTCATTGTTTCAGAGGACTATTGTTACCCTAATCCATGTGAACATGGGGGAACGTGTACGACGTTTACGACCACTTATGTTTGTCAATGCCGGCCGGGATATCTGGGAGATAATTGTGAAACAGATATAGATGAATGTCAGAGCTCACCCTGCATGAATGGAGCTCAGTGTTTGGACCTCTCTAACGCTTATCAGTGTGAATGTGTGGGACAATATTTCGGCGAGCGCTGTAATAAAAGTGCGTATAATTATTACTCTGCTATTTAATTGATAGCAAAGAATTTATTCGTATTGTCTATAGTTGACGTATGAATGTTTCAATAAGCCGAAGATTGGGTGATTGTGCCAGGTATATGAAAAATGCTAGCTATTTCTTAGCTTATTACGATATGTGACACTTAAAAAACCGCCCAGAGAATGGTTGGTTGCGTATGACAAAATTTTTTGAGTTATTGCGTCATAAAGGTGATTCAAGCTTACGCATTTCGAATGTTTGACTTTTCTTACATCCGACTACTGACTGATTATGCCGTTTATCAGCAATTTAAATTACATTGTAATTAATTATAAAAGAAACGCTTTATGCAGTAAATCTTTTCTAACTTTGTGTCAGCCATTTTCGGACATAATATTTTTCGCGAAGAAGTTTGTTCAACAAAGACGTTCATCTGATCTGTAATTTAGATTACATTGTAATTAATTGTAAAAAGAAACGATTATACAGTAAATATTCAGCAACTGCCAAGAAATGATACAACCCTTCTCCTATTTTATTTTATTGTATAGTCGAAGGTGGATGCAATTTTGAGGACGATTTTTGTGGATGGGCATCTGAATCGCTTTCATACAAATGGATACGACAAGATGGAAATAGTCCGAATTGGCCGCTCTCTGGCCCAAGAACGGATCACACTTTTTCAAACGGTAGAATAAGACATAGAAAACATATCCATGATTTTGAAGGATCAATCATTGATACCCTGATATGTCATATTGAAAAATTAAATTACTGTATCAATATTTCTCGCATTGACTCGTGCTGAAGGTGGTCGTTCGATACCAAATTGAACGGTTATGGACTGATGCCAAATGCCAACAAATTAGTCGAAATAAATTTAAATATTCAGTAGGTTATGACGTGTAGAACCTTCTGTTTTACTTGTCCGGGTATCTGCTCGTATGCCAAAGAACTATTTAACATACCAATACTTTTACAGGTTCTGGGTTTTATATTTTCACTGAAGTATACAGTGACCAGCCTGTCGAAGGCACCCAATATAGATTTGAATCTCCTACATTTTTAAAGAGTGTTGTTGAACCAGGAAAAATTTTAACATTCCAATTTTATTATCATATGGTTGGAACCGGGATGGGAAATCTCAATGTTTATTTTAAAGGTAAATAACATTAGAACCTGATTGTGGTATGATATGATTAACAATTATTGTGAATTTATTCACAGTTTATATATTTGCGAAACATTTTTCATAAAGGTATATATATATTTATCATGAGATGTTAAAAAGAAAATATGGGGGGAAAGCCAAAGTTAACTTATTAATTGTTTTTGTCCCTATAACCGATATATATCGATTGGCGCAAATAGGCATAAGTTAACGCCGTAATAAATAACATAAATAAACAAAAAACACCAAATTTCTGACTGATGAATTTTTTTTTTTTTTTCGAAGTTCTACCTAATTTTAGTAGCTCATTGGTACACATTTTGCGCTAGTGACAAACGTATTCACAGTATTGTATTATAAAATGCAAAAAAAAAGTTTATACTAATAAATTTTTCAATTTCCTTCATTTTGTTATTGAAGATGGCGGTGCTACTCAACTGATTGATCAAATTACACAAGATGAAACCGCTGCGGATTGGCGACTTTATTCAAGAAAATTCGAGCCAGTATTTGACTTTGGATTCATCATTGAGCACCAAACAGTGAAAAGTGTGTTATATCTGGCTGATATGGCAGTTGACGATATAGATATACTTATTGAAGGTAACTATTTATTCTTTTTGAAAACAGGACCACGTATTGCATTATTATCAATTAGCTGTTAATTGATTTTCTCAATGCCTTTGTATCATTCTTGAAAATTGTCCATTACATCTGACCTGAGCATTTCAAACTTGATTCGAATTCGATGAATTTGAATAAATAATTTTCTATTGGCGGATTTTTCTATACTTTTACTTCTAACAAGACCCTGTACGAGCAATCATTTAACTAAGCTGTAAAGGACCGAAAGTTTGGGAGGTATTGAATCTCTTTTCTGTGCTTCCCATTCTTTTTAATCATATTTGCATAATTATCAGTTATCACTCGTCAATTTATTGAGATGAAATTTAATATTGGCAGACTCAGGAAACACTCCAGATACTACCACAGTCGTTACAACAATACAGACGACGACTAAACCAACTACAACTATCAAAGTTACTGATCCACCCACAACCACCAAAATGCCAACGACAACCAAAACTGTTGATTTAACTCCAACAATAAAACCAACGACGATAATGGATACTTCGACTCTTGGTATGCTTTTTATTGTGTTTCTAACGTGTTGTCATGCGGTGAAAAGTGTAACAAAATAACACGGTAAAGAAGCTAGCAGGAAAGTTATAACGTGTGGCGAATGGTAGCCGGACAAAATTTAATACAATGCTAAAAATTCGTGAGGGTTAGAATTATTCAACGAAAAACGGATTGTCTGATATAGACCACTCATTTTTTCCTATACGAAATTCAAATTTTTGAAAATGCGTGCTTGGATTCTTGTACTGAACAAAACCTACAAAAAAAAAATAGCAGTTAAACAGTAAAACTTTACGAAGATAGGTCATACTTGCTTCGAGATCCTTTAAAATGAGGCGATACCCAATCTATCTTCTTCACTGCTTAATTTCTATACCCTCTGACTCTTGACGGCGCTAAATACGATTCTAATTCAAATTCAGTAGTGGTAAATTGCAGCCAATCCCTTCCATATATAATATATCTTATTTAATATTATCATTTATACTAGTAATAACAACTTTGTGCGACGATGACGATGAATGTGATGACGATGACGATAATGAAGACGATGGTTTAGATGGAGGAGCAATAGCTGGAATAGTTATCGGGGTATTGCTCGCCACAGTCGGTCTTGTCTTTTTAGCATTTATTGTATACACGAGAATGACTGCTGCACACCAAACTCTAGCTGATGGTGGTTCGGGCGTACCATTAAGTAAGTCAGGCATTCCTAACGCAGGGTATGTCGGTGAATCAGATTTGTAATCAAAATTTTACATATTTTGAATTCGTCTCGCGTTAACAATGTAAATATATCATGAGTGTTCATACGTACACGTTACGGCGCATTGAATGTAAAGTAAAATTGTTATATCTTATATGAAATTGCAATATTGTTTCAAGAGTTACTTGCAACTAGTTTTATTGCACTAAGCTAAAGACGGCCAGAGACTTTGTGCATGAAAACTAAACGTTTTTGAAGTAAATTTTATTTTTGAAACCATATATATTATGATATAAATGGAAAGGTATGCATTTATTGTAAACTTTGGTATTACGATATTACAACTCTTATCTGCATTTCATGCAAATATAAAAGAAAAAGCTTTTTTTTTTGCATCTGAATCAGTCGTCACAAATATACATGTTGATCCTGCAAAATTTTTAAAAAAGATTGTGCAAAACTACATTTTTTTTAAAGTATATATATTGATTCTAATTCAGTAGCCACAGACTATCAGCCATCATTACCTCTATCCAGATCAACGTATCGCACGAGGTACTTCACATACTTTTTGTTATAACGTCGCTTTTAAACTCTTTTCACCTTCCGGGCCTTGAAGTAATTCAGTGATACAACGTATATCATTGTCATCTTTTTTGTTTCATTTTTTCACCAATCTCCTGAGATCTTTCTCTGATAGTTGATTCTACACAAAGTGTTTTCCCGTGGTTCTAATGAATGCAGATGTTTATCATTCCCTCAGTGTTATTGTATACTTAACTATGCAAATAAATTGAATCTGTGCAATTCTTCAAATAAAGAGTGTCGCTTGGTACATTGCATCGGGTTTTTACAAATCTATTCTCAATCCAATAATAGAAGGCTCGAGACATCTAGCGGGGGATTTTAAATTTATTAACAGTTTTCGTTGATTATCAGCAAAAACAATTCCGGGAATATTTTGGAATAAGGTATATATGTAAATGAGGAAAATTTCACCGTATACGAAAACGGAAATTTTTTGTTTACCATTTCTATTTTTGTCGAAGAGGCTTATTACTATAATTTAATTTTAGTGTATATTTGAAATCGCGGATCCTTCATGTGTCCCGTTTAGATAAAAAAAAATTAGCCCACTTCATACTTTTTTTCCTCTGCTGTCAAGTTATAGCCAATAGCCCCGTTTCCCCGAAACCTATTTTTCCCTTTTTTACATTATGTGAGGCCTAATAAGGACGACATCGGTGGGAAGTGCGTTGACGATACAACGCTGCTATTTAGTGTAGAAGAGATCGATTCAGAGTGGGGTTGTTGTTAAACTTTGTCTTCTTTACGATAAAAATGTGGCATTGTCACAATACACCTGGGTCAAAGGTCAAATATGTTCTACCGCTTCAACCCCTTCATATATATTCAATAATTTTAATTGTAATCAGCAAATGATTATACTATGCCAATACTGTGGACCGGTGGGAATCGTCTTAAGTTCGCTTCTTTATATAATCGATTAGGTAGCCTGGTATTATGGTACGTATGAAAGGAAATAATACATCGCCTGGGACACAGACAAAACATTATACATGTTTAAAGGACACTTAGGACTTTCCGAAAACAATAGGACTCTCGACTTGTCAGATTCAGACGTTGTAAACATGCTGGAACACAGAAAATATAAGAGAAAAACAACAATTATTGTGACGCTCAAATTGACCTGTTTAGATTTGTCGATAAAAAACCTGCAAACTTTATTTCTGATACAGTTTCATTTTTAGGTCGTAAATAATCAGTACTGATAGGCTGAAATACTGCAAATGAGAGATCAAATCTAGCTTTTGATGAGAGTATATCACTTCGAAAATGTAGACAATAAAACAAGAAATTATGTTTTAAAAATTGATAAAGTATATGCCCATGGAGTACTAGCACATTTACGAATTCATGAAAGTTACCGTTTTACAGCTGTTAGTTAGTATTTGGTACCGAGGCCGAGTGTTGGACATGTAGCGCAGGTTGCCAGAAGATCAACATTCATACCTGAGCGTTTCCTAGCAGTTCTTTCAACAATTGATATTCTATACGACTTGGAAACCTATTCAAGCTCACCACAGGCAAAACAATAGTTCTTCGAACCATTGAAAGATTGAAGCTTTTGTCAAACTAATCGACACGGTTTCTGGAAACAAACGAATTTTATTTACTTACCCGTCGACAGATTGAAGAATATTATGTAGCAACAGTGGTAGTGATTTGAATCTGTAACCTTGAGAATATAAATTTTCTGATGTACAGTAACGGCATATTATACAAGTTGAAAATTTGGTGATAACCTGTGCTACGTTGATGAAAGAAATGTCAGATACAATGGAGCTAACACCTGTGACAAGCGCCAAAGATGGTGACCCACTGCAAACAAAATATTACTGCAAGGTTGAAAATTCGGAGGTATGATAATGATCTTATATATTTCACGCACTATGTTTGTACAATTTGGTGATTATGCGATGATTCGGGTAAAAGGATACGTTGAAATGTTGTTTTTTATGTCTAAATTATGTTACAGAACATGAAAGTAATAATGGAGATGAGAGCAGTGGAACAGAAAAGTATTGAACCACTGCCGTTGCGATATGTTCTTGTTATTGATGTCAGTGGTAGTATGGCGGAACGTATTGGATTGCATCAAAAACCACTGATTGAACGCGTTAAGGTAACATTGTTTAATACATTGATAGGCCTAACTTTCCCAAATGACCAACATTTCGATTCAATTAATTGAAAAAAGCTTATAAATTGGCATGTCGCACAACCAAGTAGGTGACATTTGAATCAAGATACTCGTTGATGATTTTAATTGCATGTAACGAATTATCAGCTATTTGACTGTTTATTGACATAGGAACATTAGTGCTAGGGGTTTCGTTTAAAGTTATTTTACTGCGCAACTCGGCTGAACGTTAGAAAGACGCGCGTCATTGGCTATCGAGTTTCCCCGAGAATGATCCGATGCTGTACCCGTGGTCTTACCTTTGATTTATTGCCCTTTCAATCAACATAATAATACATATCTCGATACCGGCAACAACTCGATCAATTTTGTACAGAGTCTACGTTGGACTAAAATGACACTAAAATAAGACAAGAGAGCTATGCTCAAATATATGGACACGTAGAGTCACATAATTTTGATGACGTCATAGCGAAAAAAAAGTAATAGCCTTCTGGAGAAAATTTTTATCTTTAACCACTGAAAATTTCAAAGCAATTGGTCCAGTATTCGAAGAGAAAAGCGACTTTTTAAAAACGTGTCAAAGAACAAGAACAACAACAACAACATAATATTGAAACGATCGTTATGTCCACTACGTGTCCAACAAAGAGATGAGAGCTGAATTCACGGCGGTACCGGTACCTAACGTAGGTGCGGTACTGAGTTAGCAGTCAGCCAGCATCTTACCTGTACACTGTAGGCCATATACGGTAATTGATCACAGAACAGTTGTTCCCTTGCAAATTTTATGTTGTTTACACTTTAGGACAGATAATTGATCACAGAACAATTCTTCCCTTTCAAATTTTATGTTGTTTCCAGTAGACTCTCATCAAAATAAACAAATATAGTAGGCTACAAGTGCTACAACGCTTGCATTACTGCACTGGTAGGACCGTGAAAGAATAAGTTACGGTAATTTCATTGTGGTAAGACACCGGTACCGGCACCAGTACCAGTATCGTACTTACGTACTGAGCTACCAGTACCGGTACCGAACCTGTAGGTCTGATATTCCGTTCCGCATACGATAGGCTATAAAACTTGCATTGCAGCATTAGTAATACCGCGGAAGGAATAAGTCAATTTCACTGCGTTACGGTACCGGTATGGCAACTTACCAGTACCGACCTACAGTAGCTGTAGTACTGAGCAAGACAATCGATCGCGAAACCGCTTGAAATAAGTGTAAAACAGTGTTCCCATGAGTAAAAATAAATACCGCGAAATTTTGTATGAAATATCATATCTCATAGGATTCATATAAAATTTAAGAATAAATAAAAGTAATAGCCTTCTGGGGAAAAATATAATCTTTACTCACTGAAAATTTCAAAGCAATTGGTCCGGTAATCAACGAGAAAAGCGATTTTTTCATAACGATACCAAGAAGAAGACAAATAAGAACAAGAACAACAAAAATACCAAAACGATCGTTATGTCCACTAACGTGTCCAAAAAGACAAAGACATCTTAAGTCATATTATTACTATATCTGATTTAGTGTACTATTTTTGTTATACCAGTAATCCACAATACTCACTTCATACGTCAACCACATTGCCATTCACGACTCAATAGTTAAACGACCATCCTCTCCCATGTGTATATCTACTCGTTCACATCGACTATATTAATTGAAATAACTCATTCTATTTACAGTTATTTGCAGAACTGGCTGTTCGGAAAATGAATCCACGGGATTTCATTGCTGTCGTTACGTTTTCGGATACGTTTTACGTTGACATACCCATGACAAAAATGACACCAAATAATAAGGTAAAAAGAACTATTTTTATAATAACATCGTACTTATATCATCTGCTTAATTTTGATTTCTGAACCAATTTTGCGGTCAAATTGTTACTCAATAAAGAATGAAAAATAGATGAATGTAAAGAGTATTATTTCTGAACCGATGTTATTATATCCCCCTGTATATATTACGGCCTATATATTTTGGCGAAGTGCGGGCTAAATCCATTCCTGGTTTCACCTTATTTGAAAAAAAATATTGTTAGTCATACCTGCATTTCCCATGTCGGGCGTTGCATAATTTTTTGACGTAAATCCTAAATACTTGCATATGCTGAACACCTAAAGCTAAATTTATGTTTAGCCTAATCTGAAGTATAAGAATTTACAGTCCCGTTTAAACATGATCACGGCTTATAACGCGATGTAAATGTGCTTCCTGAAATATGCTGAACCCTTCAAACTAAATTTATGTTCGGCCCAATTTGAAGTAAAAGAGCTTATAGTCCCGTTTAAACATGATCACGGATTAAAATGCGATGAAAATATGTTTATGTTTCATAATTTTGATGACTTTTCGGGTGTGCAAAATTTAATGAAATTTATATTAGCTTTCGGTAACGAATTTAATTTGTTGACAGATGATGGTGAGAAATCGATTGAAGCATTTAGAAACAAAGACAAATACAAACTTAGAATGTGGTTTGATGGGAGCGCTACAAGTCATTAACACGTATTGTCTGCGTTTGTATTTTTATAATATATAAAATAAATTTATTATAGAATTAGATTTTTTTATTCAATTTATATATTCAAAGTTATTAGTAAACTTTTTTGCATAATCAAAAGCAAATGATGCCATGTGGATATTAGTTCTTTTTTTACTATTGTAACTCGTATCACGCAGCTGTCTCCACCTCAGAAATAAATTCGCAGTTTTCATTATGTAAGAAGATACTATTTTTTAACGTACAGAGCTTGATGGTATATATATATAGTTATTTCATGTATTATTTCAACTCTTTTTATCGCACTTTAACATCTAATGTCTATGGGAGTGTCCTATATATCACAAAAATGACTTCAGCTTCGACGAAAATGCCAGTATTATAAATAACATCGATTTAAAGATTATGATTCGTACACAAACAGAAATTCAAGCAGATACAAAAAATTTTCGTCCATCATTTTCGTAGGAGTAATTTAAAAAAGTTCGAGTTCCGTTTTCCATTTTTCAGTGCCCCCAAAATGTATCGACCAAGTCGAGACTGCATTAT